AGTGGCCACATACAGAGACCCGTGTCAGGTTAACTTGGATGCCACCGGCGAAATGGAGTCTGGTTGGTTCGAGCACAGCATGTTCCTCCCTCACGAAGTGATGGGCTCCATTTATGATTTCGATCGGCAGCTATTTCACAAGTTCTTTGGGACACCAGAGGCCATCTGCACGCAGAGATTCTTAGTTGAGAATGCCAGAACTCCTGAATGTATGTCGTGACACAGGAGATCCGAGAATACTGCCAACACATGAGACAGTTCGCTTCACATTGGTGGTTCAATCACCCAGCTGCTCGGCCTTGTAGTATATGTCGTGCTTCCAGGTTATTCGTACTTTATTCTCAGGCACTGTGGGATGCAGAAGATTTCATCGTACCTGTACGACTGTACGGAGATGGAGCTGAAAGCTACCGAAACTTGCTGCATTATGTCGAACTGTCGGGAGAGAGCTATTGTTTTGCAAATTGTTGATACGACAGCTCTAGGTACTCAGAACTTCGAGATCTTCCTTCTGCAGTCCGTGCTGGGAGAGGAGACATCTTGTATGAGCACTCGCTTCCTGTTGCCTGGATTCTGCCTTAAAACAGCTAAGCTCGTGTTCTGTCGAAGATTCACCGCCAGATAGATTCATCCGAGGCTCAGTTGTATGTCCGGCAAATGTACCAGCGAATCGAGACACTTGATCATGAAGACCATCGCCTGGTCGCTGGAGGTTCTCAGCCGCTCAGTCCGCAAAGAAGGAGTTTGGTTGTACGGGTGATCGTGTTTCCCGCCGATGCTAATCATTAAGGGAAATGCTGAGCCAAGGTCAGGGAATATATCCTTCAGAAGGTATGGATGGGGAACAGCTACAGGGCCCACAATTGGCAAAAGCCGGCCGCCGCATCTGTGGGAACTACACTGTTGTCTTGGACGGTTTCCAGATGGATCAAGAGTTTATTTCCAAGTGCTTTGGGTTGCAGAGCTTCTCGTCCTTATGTAAGCAACGGCTCGCGATTTAGAGGTTAACTCCATGCTTGCAATTTAGTGCTGCATGCTTCAATAAAGATGAGGAAACTACACCCGCAAGATGACTTGCTTCTACTGTGAGGCAGGATCTGAACCGAATGGTTTAGGGTTTCGTGTTTTAGGGTTATAGGGCTTATATAGAGGGTATGAGAGACCCCAATAAATGCTGTTAAATGTCGGTGCTTGAGATTTGTCTTCCCTGCAGGCATTACAATGGACTCTGAAACATCCTCGTAATGACGACCCGGAACCAAATGATGCCGAACTGTTGTTTACAAACTTTGGTCGAGCAGCCCGCCATCGCAGCACGCAGCTCGCCATCATCGATCCGCACAATAATTTAAAGCTGTTCTGAGCTAGAGCATATATGAACCTTATATGTACAATGAGAATGACGACCGAGGCTGTGTTCTGGAAGTGACGAATTCATCCGGATTCATGGTTGGTCCCCCTTCGCTGGGCTACGTGGCAACTACTGCCCGTGGCGACTCTTGCCAACACGTGATTTGCAAAGTCCATTTGTCTGTTTTGTTTGGATATATCTAAACAAAGCCTATAATCCCATCCTCATAATTCCTGAGTGATCCCAAAGCTGTTTGCAGCAATATGAGGAATCCTACCTGACATCATGCACATCGTCCACTTGGCTTGTTTGGTTGATGTGGTGACATCCATGCTTTTAGACCTCTCGGACACCACTTTCCCTTGGAAGGGCTCCTCTCGTGATAGTCGACTTGAGCAGGGATGGCGAAGTTACAAGGACTATTGTCAACGATGGGGCATCGTGGACCGAGCCGAAAGGAGACTCTTTACGAACGATGTCTTGAAAGGTGATTTTGCTACCGTATCTCAAAAGATCCTACGAGCTGCTGCAGCCAAATATATGGTCTTTTGGCTTTATTTTCTGATGGAAAACTTGCTCCTGGGCATGCCTGAGGCTGAGCGGCCTGAACATCTGAAGTGCCCCAGCTACCAGTACTGGGGGTCAACGTGTGGCTTATTCTGAGTAATATAACCTATAATACTGAAATATATAATATGTTATAGTAGAGTATAGGTAACTTTTTTTTTGGTTTAGGGCTTATAGGGTTTAGGGACCTATAATACTAAAATACATAATATATTATAATAGAATATAATAGCCTTTAATTTTTTGGGTTTCTGGTTTTGGGGGTTTAGGGACCTCTAATACTAAAATATATTTTATAGTATAGTAGAGTGGGTAACGTTTAGTTTTTTGGGTGCTGCTCAAATCCCTCTACCCTCCCCCACGGATACTGGAAAATACGTTAATATATCACATTGAGAAACCTTGATCGAAATCCAAACTTCAATCCGAGGCTCATCTTTGCTGTAGTCACTGGACTTATGCACTTGGAGCAGACTCAGATGGAGAATGGCCGCTACTTCACAGAAGGCCAATGCCGCTTTTGCGAGTCTGCTTACTATCTGTACCGGGCCTCTTACGATCGATTGGCTTCAATGGCCCTGGCCAATGGAATCCCTCGCTGGAAGGTGCGACCCAAGCAACATATGCTGGAGCACGAGGTGATTGACTTTATTGGCGAGTACAGATGTAACCCTCGCTACAGTGCGAACTATATGGGTGAGGATGCAGTGAGGCGTGTAAAGCAATTGGCAGTGGCCAGCCACCCGAATCACGTGAGCAGACACGTGCTTTTGAAGTGGTCACTGCAGTTCTCACTCCCATACCGTTCGACTGTGTGAGGGAAGAAAAGGCGATCTTCGTTTCTCAGCTTGCCCGCAACCCCCAACAAGCCCGGAGAACCTCGAACCAAACGATCCGAAGTCAAGGGCTTCAGTTTAGATTCGCCAGATATGATGCACAATAGGCTATATAAATGGAAAATATATTTGTAGCCTATAGTGTATGATCTCCATTTATAGCCATATTGTGTGTCATATCTGGCGAATCTACGAATAAATAAGGACAAAGAAACGCCTGAGACCCCAAATCAAAACGAAGCACCTTCGAGCAATCCCTAAGCAAGGCCGGACATAGATAAATCAGGAGTCTAGAACACGGAGACAGAGAGAGATAGAGAGTTTGTTCACTTTGGCTCAACCATATGGTGGCACAACAAAGGCCCCGAGTCGTCACTATACAGGCGGTCGTCGCTATAACACGAGTCGTCGCCATATATGGTATCGAACGGATCGTCCTGGTAAGAGGCGGTTAGGCCGTGTGGCTTCACTGCTCTCCTCATTGAACTGAGCTAAGCGCTGACACTGAATTTGGCGCCTCCGAACTTGGAGGATCTGAGTGCAGCACCGAGGCATACACCACCGTCCCGGAGGACTACACACTGAATGCTAAGGAAGGTTTCGGTATGCGACGGACCACCTGATGTCCAGGTCTCAAGCGACCACACATCAGAGACTTCGGACTGGTAGCTTCATGGACAGCAACTGCAAAGAGGAAGTGCAGAAAGTCTGTGGCTGACACCTCAACCTGCCTAACTAAACCACAACGCCAGCCTGAACCCCCAACGCACCGAAGGACACGGCAAGGACTGAGGAGGTGGACACTGGCACTGAGCAATGCATGCATGTGTACTCGCTAAACGGGGTTCTCGGCTTAGCCCCAGGCCATCCAGAAACCAGCGCATACCAGACGACATGAACTCAAGCACTGACTGTTTCTGAAGTGATACCATAGCTGCAGGAGAACGACTGGTTGGGGTTCTCGGCTTAGCCCCGGGCCATACTCGTTAACAGCAGCAATACGCAATACGAAGAATAACCAATACACAGCGTAAGTCCATGTACTGCGTCACAAGCAAAGTGCAGGTACGTGGTCAAGGCGGCCCCCGACCATATCCTGGTGTGTGACTGGAGCTTCGTTGCACCAGGCCAAGCCACACACCCCTGGTGCCCCTGCTGTGTACTCTGTACTCAAGTTCGGTTATATGTAAATCGCAAGTAGTAAACGGCTGCAGAGCGTGAGGAGAAGGCCCTTGGATACAGGGTTGTCACACACACACACACACACACACACACACACACACACACACACACACACACACACACACACACACACACACACACACACACACACACACACACACACACACACACACACACACACACACACACACACACACACACACCCGCACGCGCACGCGCACACACACACACACACACAGACAGACAGACAGCGACACTCCTTTCAGTTTTAGGGCACGCTCTGCGGCAGCCTCACCATGAAGCTCGCGTTCTACTGAGGCGTGGCCGTAGACTATTACTGCCGTGTGGTCTTTTTCTGAATCTAAGCTTCGGCACCCAAGCCGGGGAACCCACGTTCCAAAACTCAACCCTGGGCAGCAAAAAGGGTTGGGGCTGCAGCAGTTGCAAGCCAGCTATCCCAGACTTCCAAACTCCCTCGCCTGTACAGCTCCACCGTCTCACAAATGAAATCAAGTTACGCGTCCCCTCAGGCACCCGAACGTTCTAAACCCAAGCTGCAAATCCACATCCTCCCTCGAAGGCAACTGATTCGGTGTCGAAAAGCTGGTTGTAGCTAGTCTCCCCCTGGCCACTCCGAAAGAAAGAACACCATACTTGGAGGGTCGGGGGACTTAGTAACTGGTTATTTTAAGGACTTATAAGTACCGTAACCCTAATTAGGGTCCCTTTTAGGGTACTTATAAGTCTACTTACTACCTACTTACTAAGTCCCCCGACCCTCCAAGTAACCCCCTGTACAAAATTTCAGACCCTCATATACAAGCGCTTAAAGAACCCTAGACCCGAATGGAACCTTTGACCGCCTGCCCCTCTTGAAAACTCCCAATACCTCTTTAATCTATATCTATATATACATATACATACATGAATATATAAACAAACAAATAAATAAATAAATAAATATATATATATATATATATACTCATATTCATATTCCTGCTGGGAAAAACTTCCAAAAAGAACCCTAAGCTTCGAGAGCTTGACCCGACTTTCGGGCGCCCAGCACAGAACACCAAGCATCCGCTCCACAGATCCCAGGATCGCCTCTGGGTAGGGTTCAGGATTTAGGGTTCAAGGTTAGTATTCAGGGCTTTAGGTTTAGGGGTTCGGGTTAGGGTTTAGGGTTGAGGCTTTATTCTTTAGGGTTCAGTTTTCTTTTTTCGAGCTCCTTTTTCCTAAGAGGCAGCAGTCAGCAAGGTTTAGTGTTCAGGGCTTTCGGTTTTAGGTTTAGGGTTAGGGCTTAGGGTGAGGGTTGAGGCTTTATGCTATTGGGTGTGGGCTATACCAGTAGGATTTACAGTGACTTGACAAGGATGTATACTGGAAAGGATTACGAACAAGGGTTGATATCAAGTGAGGGCTACAAACAGGGTGACTATCGGTATGCAGTCTGCACTTTGAGGCTTTAGCATCAAAACTGGCTTAAAGATAGCCATAATCATAGTCGTAATTGTGACAACTGTCATAGTTGTCGTAGTGCTGATAAAGAAGCGACAATTATCAGCATCAATATGCTATCAACCAGCAACAAACTTAATTCATAACAGAAAACACTTAAACCATATATAGTTGCCCTCGATCAGGGATCCTTGTTGTGGTTTCATGCGTATTCCCTGCATGAAGGCTTTTGCATCTACCGGGATCATACACAAGTGTCGACCAACCGATAATGATTCTGCCTTCTGCTAACTGTATAGCGTACGCATATACCCGGCCGTAATTACTCTGATCAGTCTATTCAGGCTCCTTAGACGTTCAGAAGCCCCCAAAATATACATAACACTCGGTTGTAATTACTTCCTTAACCCGGAATAACCTACATTTGTAAGGACTTCTTCTAAGGAAATAAGGAACCCTAAAAAGGTAGGTTATTCAGGGTTGAGGTTGTCATAATTATATATGTCCAAGCACTCTTTGAGCGTTGGCCCCTCCAGCTGCCGACACTCCGGTGACGTTTATGGTAGAAGCCAGAAAGTTGGAACATCATTTTCCTCATGCCATTAAGGTAAAGTATAGGGGATCCCAGCACGAATCATCCTAAATCCATGTTCCAACTTCCTAGTGTTCACTGTAGAGGGTTTCGGATTCAAGGTTTCGGAGGTTCACGGTTCAGTGCATGTCTGGAAAAGGTGCAGTCAGAAGGCGGCCCCGAGTACACCAAGTTACATAGAGCCCGAGAATCCGAAATCAAAAGCCCTAAAGCCCTAAACTGACCAAACACCCTGACACCCCCTAAACCCTAAACCCTTCTAACTCGCTCGCAGACCGAAAGAAGTCGAGGGACGCGGTGGACGATCACCGGCCGAGAGTAGCCAGGAGGAAGCACAGGCTCCTGTCAAAGGGGAGAAGGAGGGACCCTTAATGGGGACCAGTAGCCTATAATGGGCTATATAATGGGCAATTATATAATATCGAAATAAAGGGTATAAAAGGAGGGACCCTTAATAAGGAACCCTAGGTATATACCTTTAATATAGCTATTATATACCCATTATATAGCCCACTATAGGGTAGGGGTCCCCATTAAGGGTCCCTCCTTTTCGCCTGTGATCCTGGCAAAAAATGCAGAACGAAACTAAGGGACGTTCCCTAGGATGCCCGGTAACCTAGGAATCAAAAGGGCTTCCTTTTTGGTATGGGTACCTTTATCAGGAACCTATTTAGGACTATTGGTTCTGGTCCGAGCTCTTAGGTCTTAGCTTAGGTTGTAGCGCTTAGGGCATGCTACCCTAAACTCTAAACTCCAGGGGTTTGAAGCCCCCTAAACCCTAAACTCTAAACCCTACACCCTATACCCTAAACCCTAAACTGCCGAGATCGCCGCTGACCATTTGCATGGGCGCTCGAGGCTCCGACCGAGGCCCCCGGCCGAGCGTCCCGACAAGACGGTGAGGGAGGGTAAAGCCTCCCGGTATACGGGGACGGAAATGACTCGGCTACGCCTCACACAATACGGACGTGAAAATGAGGACCCCAAACCACGGCCACTGGTTTGGTTCTGGCTGGGGGTCCCCCCCCTCCAAAAAAGGCCCCCCCCAGGCGGGGTCCAGGGCCTCCAGCGAGCAGAGTTCAAGGACCCAGGGGATTGCAATTTTGCCCTGCTCTGCCCTGCCCTGCCCTGTGAGTTCTGAAGGAATATTGAATATTGTTGTTTACATGTCAAGCTGCGAAAGGAAGCAGAAAGCAAGAAAGCCCCCCTTGAGGGGGGTTTGGGGGGCGAACCCTAAACCCTAATTGAGAATAGTTGGGGTGGTTGGGGCGGGACTACATGCTGACGCAAGCGCGCGATTAGTGGGTGCGCCCCCTATTCCTAAAGTAAAAGGCGCACCCACCGCTTTCATACTGTTACAAACCCTATATACCCTAAACCCTAAACCCTAAACCCTAAACCCTGAACTCTAAACCCTAAACCCTAAACCCACAGTTTTTCGTTTTTCCATCCATACCTTGGGCAGGGCTCCCAGCTGCGGAACTTCAGAGCTCGGGATCCCACCACGGCTTTCAGGAGCCATCTCCGAAAATCGGGGGACCGCCTGGGGTTCCTTTAAAGGGATCCTTTTAGGGATCTATAAGGGTAAAATAAAGGGTTTAGGGTTTAGGGAGCTTCCGAAAATCGGGGACCCTTAATATAGCACCCTAAATAGTAGGATCCTTATTATAAGAACCCCGAAATAAGGTACCAGTCTTTTTCGGAAACTCCCATATGGACCTCCATAATTAGAAAAGGGTTCTCCCTTTGAAGGGCTCCTTTTAAAGGGGTCTATAAGAGCTTCTATAAGGGGTTATGGGGGTTTTGTATAAGGGTCTTAATAATTCGAATGGGGTTTGGGGGTATATTATACCATGATTATGATAAGGAGCAGAAGTATAGGCAATTATTGAGGCCCCTGTAATCATAGTAGTTTCACTAATCCGTGAGCCCTATATGAAACCCAACAACCCTGTAAAGCCCTCCCAAGCCCCACGACGCGGAAAATAAAAGGTGCGGTATGCCTGATTTATGGACCGGAACCAAACGGTGTCCAGACCCGAACACCGGATGAGACATGGGAGTTTCCGAAAATAGGGGGCCCCAATGTAGTACCCCAAATAGTAGGATCCTTATTCTAAGTACCCCAAAATAAGGTACCCCAAATTTTCGGAAACTCCCACATAGAACGCTAAACCCTAAACCTATCTCAAAATGACGGAAGCGGTACAAGCCTTCTTCGGTTGGCTTCAGGTCAAGCCGAAGGCGGAGTAGGCACCATGGAAACCCATGGAATCTCCAAACTGGTACCAGCACGGCCTGGTTGCCATCGACTCTTCCATCGCCTGGAGGCGCGTGTCTAGTCGCTGCAGCACCGACATGGCTCTGGCGGTCGCCAGACCCGTTGCCTCCCATCCAAGCATGCTCACCCGACCAAGGGAGTCCCACGAAGCCGTAGCACCACTCCACCACCAACAAAAACAATAGCAACAGCAACAGAAACATCGATAGCAACAGTATAGTATACCAGATTGGAAAACTGAAAACTCTAGGAACATACTGAATGACTTTGATTTAGGGTAAACTCCCCCTAATCGAAGGCCTCTCTTTCCCACTAAGTTTAGGAGGACGCTTAAAATCATTCAAGAGGGCCCACATAGCATGTACTTTAGAAGATGTCGGAGGAACCTCAGTTTGATTTACAGCTTATTATTTCCCCTCATTGACGGGCTTTGGCAGCCGCTCCAATTCTCAGGGTGGAAGCATTGTGCGACTTGGCTTTTCGATTTTGGCGCGAAGCTAAACGCAAAGCCCTCGGCGGGGCTAAACCATACATCAGAAGCCTCTAAGGGCCAAAATTAGTCAGAATGGAGCTGTGGGCTACTTTAGCGTCATGTTTCCGGACTGTCAGGGAAACCTATAGCTGGTGATGTAGACACCTACATTGCTGCTTGCTAGAGCCTTCCGGGTTCGTAAACCCCGAACAGCCATAACACGACAACCCAAAGTATAGAGTCCTTATAAGGCCGTGTCGCATGAAGTCCCAGAAAAACATCAGAACACCTGCGGAAACCTGTCAAGCCGAGCGAAGGCCGCAAGAAACTCCGGTGCAAGTCCGATGCCACGTCATTTCCCCTTCAGGGTCCCTTTGATAGGGTGCCGAACTATTTGGGGGACCGAAAAGGGGACCCTAATTTAGAGAACTGCCCATATGCACTTCCCTTTGCCTGCTCGTCGCCCTCAACCTTCGGCTTCTCTGCGGACTCCTGCGAAAAACACGCAATGGGTATCGTTTGCTTTCATGCTTGTGCTTTGTGGTTCAGGGTCTAGGGTGTAGTTTCTTGTTGTGTTCGATGGTTCCTCTGATTTTATCAAACAGTGTGTTGTTCCGGTTAGGCTTCTGGGTCAAGGGCTTCGGTTTCTCTAAGAACATTAGGTTTTTAGTATTTCGGCTTAAGGCATCGGCTTTGTTCAAGCTCCCCTTCTTCCGGCTTTCGAGTTGTTTTTTTTCAGGCTTGGGGTATTTCCACCACGTCTGCTTGCGAGGCTTAAACAGGATACAAGTAGGGGTTTAAGGTTTGGGCATTCAAGAAATTCGTGGAATAGGGCTCTGTGGGTCATTACGGCATCCTTGTTGTAGGGACCAAAAGGGATCCTTGTCTAGAGAACAAGCCATCTGACTTAAAGCTTGCCAGGTCATGGTATGGCTTTCGAAAATTAGATTTCCGTTCCTTATTGGGTTTAACTACCCACAAAAGTGTTAAAACGGTTACACAACCATGACTTGAGGTTGGGGTGGCCGGGAGTCTCTCGGAAATTCGTGGAACTCCGGAGGCCTCCGCGGCTCCCTTCTCCGTCTGGTACTTGAGGTTGAAGCGGATGGGCCTAGAGAGAGAGACCCTAGACCCTAAACCCTAAACCCTAGAGAGAGAGAGAGAAGCAAAATAAAGGTTACTAGAAGGGTCGCTACAATCAGATTGCTGGGTTACTATAAGGGTACTATAAGGGTTACTATAAGGGTTTGGGTTTTGGTTAAGGGCTGCAGAATAACGGTTTCGGCGTTCCGTACGGGTCGTTGTCGTGGCTGCCAGAAAACTTGCCGTGACGGTTTTGTTGGCTTTACCGGGGTTTCGTCGGACGGAGAAAAAATGCAGGAAAACACCTGTACTTAAACACGGCGTTTGAATTGGTTTAGGGCAGATGCAGTACCTAAAGGAGTATGTGCCTAGGATCTACCAGTAGATTTCTAAATCGAATAAATGTACCCGTAAATGTAAGTTGGAACATTGATTTGGGATGATTACGTAGTGCTGCTAGAACTCCCTCTACTTCACTTTAAGGGCATGAGGATAACAATGTTCCAACTTTCTGGCTTGTACTGTACGGGCTATTCGGCTCTTTGGTGCAGGGGCCAACCGGTCTGGGCCCGGACAGTTGGAAGTCAAGCTGGATCGTTCCACACCTGAGTTGCCACAGGTAAGTTGAAGTTCTCAAAGGGTTTAGGCAGGAGGGTGCTTCCCCTGAGTCAAATATCGGGATCTGGACAATTCAAGGGCTTTGGTTTAGGGCTTAGGGATTGGGGTGCCAGACAGCACAGTGCCCCCCAAATTAGGGAACATAAAATGCTTGAGCTATAGGTCATCCAGAGGATTTCTGGTGTTCTATAGGGTTTATGACTGAAGTCAATAGGCAGCTATATGTATATATATATATATATATATATATATATATCTATTTTTTTGCAAGCGAAATCATCAAAGGCAGCCGCGTGCAATTGAGGCGCAAAGTGGCTCAGCTCTCTGTGCAGATTCGCCCCTAAACCCTAAACCCTAAAAACCCCTGAACCCTAAACAAGCTGAGCCACTGGTGCCCTCTTCCCAAGGCATCCTGCCCATTGCAGGGTAGGGTTTAGGATTTGCGGTTGAGAGTTCGGGGTTTGGCATAGAGCAGGCACCCAGAGCCGGACCCAATAAAACCCGAAAGGTCCAACCCCCAAAGCTTTCCGCTTTGGAAGCTGGGAGCTATACGTTTCAGCAGAAGAAAGCCTGCAGATCTGTGGAGCCAGGAAGTTAATTCGTGATGCAGTTCTTGGAGTCCTGCTAAGAGAGATCTTGCCGGCCAGGGTCTGCATTGGGGTCCCTCGTTTCGTGAAGCTCTCAGAATGCCGCTTAAACAAATTATGCCCCGTTCTCAACGGTATCTTGATCTCCGGGGTGCCTTGTTTGGAGCCTTCTGCAGCCATAGTTTTGGGCATGCAGCACTCTCACGACGTGTCAAGAACGAAAACAACAGCAAACTGTAAGGATCCCGTACCGCTAACACCCGAAACGCTGGTATTCTAAGGGCTACCGGCTCAAACACGAAGTTTGGAGACATCGGGCGCCACGTCCTGCAGTTGGATGTCAATCTTTGGCCCGTAGAATGCACCTCAGTCGAGTCATGTAAATGCCTGAATGACTGGTAAAGCCATGTTTCCTATCTGATTACCCTGAATTCTACCCTTATCTCAAAATCTAAGTCCGAAAATCGAAATTCTGCTTATGAAAAACACCCATACTCCGAAGCTGTGACAGCGTTTGCATCACACACTTGCCTGGTATCCGGCTGTGTGGATTGAGGTCCTTTTCTTTAGGATTCGTTTTTTGGAAGAGCTCTTTCTTCACCGGTGCAAAGTTGGGGGTTTGAGGCTCAAAGGCTGTTGTTGTCCAAATTAGTCGGCTTGCAGGCTTGGGCTTGACATGTTAGGGTTTGGGCGTGAGATTTTTTCGGCATGAACGTTTAGGTGTACGACAGTATGATCTTACTCGGGAATCGCAGGGAAGGATATCCGTTACTAGTTTTGCTTTACATTCTTTCGTTCATGCGCACGCCCTACAACTTTGAGTTGATTCGATGTTTCAGCCGGAGTCGTCCAAGACAGGAGCGGGCAATGAAACACGGCTTCGTACAATACAACAGTTGGCAAGACCACGAAAACGTTCATGTTACTTTTAGACGAAGGTCCAGGTTGATAGCCCTGAAAGCGCTAAACCCCCGATTCAATCACCTTCTGTTCCCAACTTCTCATCCTAAACAACATAGCCCTAGAACCGCCGAAATTTCTAGACTCTAAACTCTTCAGCTATGCAGAAAAAGCTGGTTTAGAAGTTCAAGGTGCAGGGTTCAGGGTGTAGGGTTTTAGCCCGACAGTAAACCCCATAAAGTTAGAAGCCGGATTTAGGCCAAATAGTGCTGGGATTCCCTATACATTACTCTCAAGGATTGAAGCTATTGGGTTTCCAACTTTTGGGCTTCTGCTATAGACCCAGAGAGCCCAATATCCCTTAACTAAGGGATATACCTTAAATCAGAATATGAATCGCCCTATAATTTACGGTACAGTCCTTAATTAAGGGCTATTCGGCTCTCTGGGGAGCCTCTAGAGCTCTCAGCTGCCTGCCATCGCCCTTCTTCAGCGACCAGGGCTTTCCGGTGCTGTTCAACGCCTCGCCGCGTCTCGGGGGAGTTTTGTTACGCTGTATAGGGATGTTTTAGGGGTCCTGCTCAGGAACTTAATAAGAGCTTGAACATGGGTTTTGAAGGGGCTTCCGAGTTAGTCACCCACCTCACCTGTTGACTTTCTATGCTTCGCCGCCCAAAGTAGCCCTAGACGCTTGGCTCGAGCGAATTCCCGTTTGAACACGTGGAGGTCGGAGAACTAGCAAGCTATCCCTATATAGCACCGAGAAAATTGCACCTTGTTCTACCCCGAACTCCGTGTTGATCTGGTAAAATCAACGACCCTAGCACAAAGCTCGAGGCAGATCTTGACACTCTCGATCTTGAAGAAAACACTCGGGTGTAAGGTTTTGGGACTTTCAAGCGGCTAAGGTTTCAGGGCTTTAGGGTTTGGGATGCTCCATTCTTTAAGGGTGTGGGGTGTTGGGTCTTGGCCTGGCTTTCGGAACCACGCACCGACAACTCTGCTCCAGGAAACCCAAGAACGAAGTGAGTGCCCAATCCGGCTCAGCTGCCTCTTGCAGCTGCGCCTCTGCTCGTTCCCAGAGCCTTGGGCATCCAGAAGCGGCTTTCAGAAGTAGGTAGAATGGGACATTGAAGGCTTCATACGTTGGTGTCAATAGGGAGTGCTACGGAATAGTATTGCAGGCTTTGTGGGGTGGAAAAGCTGTCTGTCCAAGGAGCCTAGAGGAATAGTAACAGCAACGAATTGCAGTATGCTTCCGAATGCAAGTATCCAACCCAGAAACGTCAAACTCCTCAGTCCAAATCCTAAAGGGACTCAATACAGGGGCCTTAACTGCTGGCATAGGTTTTGGGGTGGTATTCTAATACAGTTGAAATGAAGGAGCAACGGCCAGTACTTACGTTGTTTTCCTGAACAAAAAGGGTCCTGGAGTCTCTAGGAAGAAGGTATCAACTTTTGGAACCACCAACACCAAAGCTCTAAAACTTCTAGCCCCAAACTCCTACGAACTTCTCAAAGCCCTCCTAAACCTCCGGCCCCCTCGCATTTTCTCATCTTTTCTCCAGCTCTGACTTCGGCCGTTTGGAGTCCGGCTCCTGGCGGATGAGCTTTGACTCCCAAGGTTCAGGGTTTGCGGGATTCTTATGAGGGGTACTGGGTTACTTTAGGTCCGTCTAGGCTCAAGGCGTGGAGTTCACGGTTCTGGGGTGTGGGTGCCGGTTTAGGGACTTTTGCTGAGCATTGCTCCTGAGAAGTTGTTCGGCCTGTGAGAACGCATGGATCCAGCCCTCGCAAGAAGTCTTGTTTTTTGAGACAAGATTGAACGTCACTACTACATTGAAGTGAGCTACACAGGCCACGGCTCCCAAAGAATGGAAGTGCGGAGGCTAAGGCCTGCAGAAAAGCATCGGAGCCTTTACAGAGAGTGGCACGTGAAGGCCTGCGGCGGGGGGTCTCAGATTCATCGCGGCAGCATCCGAGAGCCCAGATACTGACAAGCTTAGACCTAAACAGCACCCAAGAGCCGTGCAAAAACAAACCACTCTTGTTTTGTCAACACCACCAGAGAAGTGTTTCACGAAACCACCACACCCTAAATTCAAAACCCTGAACACTAACCTCCTAAACCCCTCAAGCCTAAATCCCTTCTTTCACCAACACCACCAAAGAAGTTGGAATCTCTCTGCTGCCTCCCAACCGTCCAGTCCCACCAGCTTCCGGCCAAGGGCCTCGCAGCTGGCGTTAAAACGAGGCCAAGGCTTATGGGTTTGGGGTTTAGGGTTTGGGGGTTTAGCGTCTTGATGGGTTTAGGCTGGCGGCTTGGGGATATAAGGTTAAGGTTCAGGGGTCTAGGTGTTTAGGGTTATGTTTGAATCACAAGGTTTGCTCTACGGGTTGCTACGAAAGACTGGGTCTACTTTTGTGGCCTGCATCATCAGAATAGGTTTTGGGATGCAGCATAGTAAAGCTGCCCTAGAGGCTCTCAGTGACCAAGAAATCCAAGCTGCAACTGCATTGCATCTTGTTATCTCTGCATTCCTGGATCGCACTAAGTTCCTGGCATCCAGCGACAGGTGCATCGCTGCATTGCGCTCCCATGTGTGTTGTGCGTGTCGTTGCTGCGCTTGCAACTGCCGCTTTGAGCGCGGCCGGAGTTGCTTCGCGTTGACGGAGAATGCCTGCATGAACGGCTGATCACAATACTATATATGTTCGCTTACTGACCCGAACCTCGTAGGAGTACACATGTTTCGCTCCGCCCGTGAGTGCAGCTGCAGCAAAGCTCATCGGTCATGACAGCATGCTGGGCATGCAGCATGGCCGCGCCCAAGCGCAAAGCCCAATATGAGCGCCGAGGTCGAGCCAGACGTCGTTGGGACCCGCTGCTTTGATGCTACGGCCGTGAGCCTTGCCTGCAGCAGTGCAATACTTTCAAAGCCGAACATCTATCGCCGAGCGGCTTCCGAGGACTTCGGTGATGATGCTTTCCTCATTTTTGCAGTTGCATGTTTTGCTTTGTGAAATCTGCATGTGTCCGTTTTGGCGCAGAGGCCTCGCAGCGACAGAGTAACATCACAGAGTGGCATCTGATGTTCCAGCACGGTATGCCAGGGTAATGCCGCCGTGCTGGACTTTACTACCAGCCTCTTCCAAGGCATATTACGTGCATGCAACATCTGGCACAGGGTCGTGTCCTGCCATTCCAAGTTTGGGGCAGCCACCTGCACGAAAACAGCTGACACGTGGACTACGTTGACGCTCAGTTATCACGAAGTTAATGTATTCCACTTGGACTGCACAAATGGCATCTTCAAGTCGCCGCACTTCGCGGCCTCAGCATGGACAACTACTTTTCATTTGAAACTTCTGTCACTTCTTGCCGGCCACTCAGGGTGTTGCAGCCTTGCGCTCATTGCTTTTTCTGCTACGCCTTGTCACCTCGGCATCGCTGGCATGGATGACGTTCTAGGTGCAGTGCAGATGAAAGCACACGGTTGTCTTCTCAGTCGAGCGACGGCAACTCCAAACGTGTGCTCTTTTTGGCACCGTCTTCACTGCCAATTTGCGAGCCTGAGCAGCGACGCTTGGAGTGGCTGGGGAAAAAGCCCAAAAACCAAATTTGAGGGCTTGGAAGGGGTTTGGAAAAGACCAAAAAACCATAATTTGATGGCTTGGAGGGGGTCTGGAAAAGGCCAAAAAGCCAAATCTGGGGGCTTGGTGAAGGTTTGGAAAAGGTGAAAAAGCCAAATTTGGAGGTTTGGAAGGGGTGTGAGAAAGGCCAAAAAGCCAAATTTGGGGGTTTGGAATAAAACTGCAATTTGGGAGCTAAAATTATGGACGGGTGCTAAACAATTTAAGGTTTGGGTTTGGCCGGGTGCTGGGAGCTGCAAGCTGCGGGAAGCTGGGCTGGAACTGCCTGAAGGAGCCGGGGGGACGCTGCAGACACTAAAACGACAAAATAGAATTCGCATAACGGTTTAGGGTTTAAGAAGCAGTCCCCTTAAAAGAAGGGAGCGCTTCGCTCCGGCAAAAGTGGCTAGGGCGCCTTGCGCAGTTCCAAAAACTGCGCTGGAGAACCCTAAACCCTAACCCCTAAACCCTAAAACCCTGAAACCCTAAAACCCTAAACCCTAAAAACCCTAAACCCTTCTGTGTAGTTGTGCATTCAAGTTTGCTTGGCCCCCGAATGGATCAGGGCCGGAAGGGTATCCCGAAATTCCCCTAAACCCAAAGGGTTTAGGGTTTAGGCCCTAAGCCGGAAATCCCTAAACATCCCAAGCCCCAAAGCAAACCTCAGAAAAAAACTCCGATGTGTAGCTGCCAAGAACAAGAATGTCAACATTAAAACCCCCTCTTAAACCCTAAACCCTTAAAGCCTAAAACTCCTACACGATCCCGAGGGCGGGGCTGTGAGATTCGCAGGCCTGCGGCCGAGACTTTCTGCACGCAGAGACTAGGATTTGGCGTTTCAGGGCTTGGGGTTTAAAGTTTAAGATTTAGGACTAGGGATCAGGATGGTTTACGGGTTTGAGGGGTTGAATCTAAGGGAGTAGAATTTAGAGTTCAGGGGGGTAGTGGTTCGGCTGTTCTTCGCGGTCGTTTGAAAGGGCACGTTGCAGATCCTAGTTAGCATCTTTCTCTCAGTTGCGAAGGTGAAAACCCATGTGCGCACACGCACACATATGTACCTAAATAGATGTGCATGCATGCATGTTTGTCCATCCATCCATCCATCCATCCATGCATCCATCCATCCATGCATCCATCCATCCATGCATTCATGCATGCATAGAGTGAGACATAGCGTGTCATCAAGTGAGTCGTACATATCTACAGGTGTGTCTGTATATCTAAATCTTTCCAGCTGTACCAAACTGTTTCTATATCCATATCTTTTTGTAACTATGTGTATATGCATATGTACATGCGTATGTGCACGTGCGCGCACGTGCATGTGCATGTATGTGTGCAGGTATGTATGCAAGGGATATGCCTCAGCAACAAGTCACACGATTAAAACCCCCACGACGCATTACGAGCTTCTGCATAATTAAGCTCCAGAAAAACAACCCTTAACCCTTGGGGCTCGAATGATCTGATTAAATCTAGAGCCCCATTACGAGCATTTTCAGCCGCCCATGACACTTTTCGATCGACAAAGCCCCAACGAGACCGAAAGAATACCCTGTTTAAGATCCTGCCACCAACAACGAAATCGATGAGGCCCGGAAACAAGCTCTCGAAAACCCTAAACCCTAAACTCTCAACCCTGAACAACCCTAAACCCTAGACTCTCAACCCTAAACCCTAAACCCTCAACCCTAAACTCTCAACCCTAGACTCTCAACCCGAAACCTTCTTACTCCAAAATTGGGAGAAAACGCCGATGCCTTTGGCTCTCCTCCCCCGGAGGGAATTGGGCCAGCTCGGTCCTTGGTAGTCGCGCTTTCAAAAGTTTAATGTAAAGGCTCCATTGTAGTTCCTTTTTGGGTGCGCTAGGGGGGGGTCTATGGGTTCCCCTTTTTAAAGGCAAGGGGTTTATAACGTGAGCTTACGGATCAATCTACCTACGGGTTGTGGCGATCTAGCAAACACTCACCCTAAACGCTAAACGCCTAAACCCTAAACCCCTATAAACCCTAAGCCCCTAAACCCTAAACCTCTATAAACTCTAAACCCCTAAACCCTAAACCCTATAAACCCCAAACCCCTGGCCAAGGGCCTCTGCTTGCTGCCCGCGGCCTGAGAAGAAACCGACCCACAAGACAGGGTTTCCATAATGGAACCCGAAATTCCGAAATGAGAGTACTGCAGGGGCCTTAATACTGTAATTAGAATAGGGTTGTGGGTGTATTATACTATATTTATAATAAAGAATTCCAAAATCGTATAGGTAGTTGTTAAGGCCCCTATAGTAAACCTGTCTGGAAGGGGTGGGTCTGCTTCGCGGCGCGGGGGAGCGGCCTCGGCGCTTAAAGGGTTCGTAGGCACACTCATGTTGCAAAGCCTAAACCCCAAATCTGAAACCAGAAACTCGAAAAACTTAACCGGAAACCTTTACCTCGAAACTCTGAAACCTTAAACTCGGTTCTTGAACCCGAAACCGAAAGCCTGAACCGGAAACTTGCAACTTCTAGCCGGGCGTCTCTTTTGGGTCCTCCTCCAAGAGGGGCAGCCTGGCAAGGTAGAGGGCAACATAGGGTCTGGGTCTATACGGCTTAACTTCCTTTAAGCGTTCTCTCTACCGGGTTATTTAAACGGTTAGTACAAGGAGTGAATATAGAGGTCTTAATGACAGGAATAGGGTTTGGGGTACATAATAGCAGAGTTAACAGACTTACATAAGGCAGTAGGAGGAAACTCGTAGCAATGAGGCCAGATTGATAAGATCGGGTTAATTATGTCGGCCCTTGCTTGGCCCCAATTAAGTCCTGCCGGCTCCCACACTAAATATCTGCTACTACCCGAATACTCTAAGATAATATATAGGCCTGAAAAATTAGAATAGGGTTTGGGTGCCCATTGCACTAGAGTTATAATAATAGGGAACCACCAAAATAATATGGGTAACTATTTAGGCCCCTATAACGACTTTTGTTCGTCCATGGGCCTCTCCTCCCAGCGCCTGCGACGCTCCGAAGCGTTCAGCCGCGAAAGCACAGAGACCTGGGAGACTTCCTCATATCTCGGGGCCGTGGGGTTACAAACAAGGGTTCAAGATTCACATCATACTAACCCAGAGGCTCCAAATATAGTACCATTATGGAATTAGGTCCCAAAAGACCATCCCTATTATGGCTTTGGAGACCTAATTCCATAATGGTACTATATTTGGAGCCTCTAGGTAACGGTCTTTGCAAGCATTTGTCCGCAACATCGGACATAGTCTTCTGGGCTACAGCTACCAAACGTGGTAATCGACAGAATAGCCATTGTAGCAACACTCCCACTCATAAGGGTTCAGAGGTGGGGGAACAAGATCATGAGTTGAGGGGCCTCGTGCATTACTGTTTTATGGTCTAGCAGTAAGGGTGTAGGATGATTTAGAGTTTAAGGTTTAGGATTTATATGGCCTGATTTAGGGTTTGGGGTCCAAATCGACAGATCAAAGTCCGTAGCTCCCCTTATTCACGAGCCCCGATAAAACCCTCAACACCTTACAACAACCCCCCTACAACCCTAGGGTTGACGCATGCATAGTCGTCGTCCTCAATTGGGTGGCTGTCAAAATTATGGTCCCTTTTCGGGTACCCTAAATATTAGGTGCCGGTGTTATACTAGGGACCCCAAAAGGGACCCTAATTTTGACAACTACCCACATTTATAGAACATTCTCAAATGTATTATTGAATATTAATAATTATGTATTGAAGTAATATTGACAAACCACCCAATTAGCTGTTGGGTTCTCTGGAGCACATAGCCTGCAGGCACTGAAGGGTGCCCCAATTCTCGCCAGTACTCCCCAAGTTCCCCCCCTTGGCCCTGCCTTGGACCATGCCCCTTACTTCGAGGTTCATGGGTAGCTATAACTGGGATTATAAGTCCCTGAATATGGGCTATAACTATAGTTATCCTACTAAACACCCTACTTGAAACTCACCATGAAAATCCAAGTAAGGATCCTAGTTTCAGGGCTTGAACCCGGCTTCGCCCTCCTCCCTGCCTTGCTGACGTCGTCATAGGCTAGGGTACCTGCCGGCTGGGCCACAATATCATCCCCAAACCCAGTAGAGGCTGTAGAGGCCTTGCAAGAACGCTGCCAAACCATACAACGCGCCTGTAAAGCAATTTCGTCTCGCCAGGGGTTTAAAAAGCCGAATAGCAAACCATCAAACCGCCAGTAAAAGCTTTCTATAGCCCTATACAATCAAACATCATCCTAATAAAGAAAAACCTGCAAACCTTGGCGCCTCTGACCTCTTTAGGCTAGAATCAAGGCACTTTGCACAACCCAGGCAAAAAGGCGGTTCTAGGGTTTTAAACCTCGAGGGTTCTGAACCTTCAGGGTCTGAAAGTCATCAGGTTTAGGGCAAAGGGTTTTAGGGTTCTTGGTTGCAGATTGGAGTCAGGGTGTACTTGGGGTTCTATGTCCCTCTCCGACGTTCTGTGCATCCAAGATCCAGCCCGGATGACTTTGTTCTTGAATCTTCCCTGGATCCCGATCTCCAAACCCAAACCCGACACCGGCCGAACACCCTGAATCCGAAACCCTGAACTCCAAAACCCGAAACCCCCAAACTCTAAACTGGCCCGAAACCCTGGATCCTAAACTTGAACCCTGAACTCCGAAACCTAAAACCCCAAACCCTAAACCCCTAAAGCCCTAAACCACGGATCCCCGGAACCCCCGGACACTAAGCTGGCCCTAAATCCTGAATCCTAAACCCCAAACCCTACACACGGAATCCTGCCCTAAGGCTCCTGGACCCTTGTAGTGAGATCCCGAAACCCTAGCCCCCAAAGCCGAAACCCTCCCCCAGAAAGCCCAAGACCCTCTTAGGAGCCTCAAGGTAAACCCCAAACCCTAAATCCTAAACCCTAGATCCTAAACCCTAAACCCTGAATCCTAAACCCTAAACTCCTAAACCCTAGATCCTAAACCCTAAACTCCTAAACCCTAAACCTTAAATCCTAAACCCTAGATCCTAAACCCTAAACCCCTAAACCCCTAAATCCTAAACCCTAAACCCCTGAATCCTAAACCCCTGCATCCCGAACTCTGCATGATGCCTGCGTCCGACATGCTGAGCGGTCGCTCAGGGCTCCGGCCCTCGCCTTCGAGCAAAGGGAAATCATGTCAAAGGAGTTTAGGGTTTAGAGGAGTTTAGGGGTTTAGGGGAGTTTAGGGTTTAGGGGTTTAGGGTTTAGGGGTTGAGGTGTTTAGGAGCTTAGGGCTTTGGGGTTTAGGGTTTAAGTTTGAGGGGAATCATGTACAGCGCCTGAATAACCAGACCAGTTTCCTTGAAGTTCCATTGAAAGGGATCTGTAAGGGATCTGTGTTACAACAAGAGTTCTATAATATAGGGGCCTCAGTATATAGTTGGAGTGTGGCGCGTCTGTGCCCCTCTGCCTTCACTTCAGGGCTTTTTGACTCGGTATTTGCGAGGGTTTCGGCTTTCAAGGTCTTCGGACTTTCAGGGATCATTTGGGCCTTTCGGAAATTCGGCTTTTTCCGAGACTCCAGTTTTTGCATTAGGGGGGATAACCTTGCTCTAGTGACTGCGGGGGAGGGTGGGGGGGGAGGGGGGGGAAGGCTAATAACGTTCCCTGAAGACGTGAACCCGAAAGCCTCAAACCTAAAGACTTTGTCATGTCAGCAGCTCTGGTAGCCACAACAACTGCCATATAATGCAGTGAGATTTTGCAACGGCGACTACCAAGAGTGCAGCAAAAACAACCGCAATGTGCGAAACCAACAGTAACTTTAGAACCGAACCTTAACTAATATTTTTGTTCCCAGGCCCCTCTCCAAGCCTACATGCATAATCTATCGCGTTTACCAGTGTTTTCATGCTATGACACTCAGAATCCATCAGGTGCGCACATGCGCCACGCACCATATAGTTGGATCAGGGCTTTGGGCTACAGTCTAGTAGTCTAGTATAGTTGAACTCATGCAAAGGCGTGAATGCTTACAGGTGCATGGTTGCAAGATACAACCCAGCAGGGGCCTGAATTGAGTAGACTAGGTCTTGCGGTGTTCTGCCTTTAGAGGAATTACACACAGACTATTAGGGCCTTTGCTCGACTACCTATTCAAACCTCTGTATGGAAAGGCTCCGGCGACGGCGAGTCTACTGCTGGAGTCGGTTTCGCTTGGGTGCTTAGGACCTATTGGGTTTAGAGTTTCGGCTTAGGGTTTATAGACATCAGGTAGCTTCTCATTTTGGTTTGGGAATGTGGCTTTACCTCAAGATCTTAGATTCCCTGGATCCTAGCCAAGGGGCCCAGAAAGGGCGCCGCATCCACCGGGAGCATAGCCTGAGCGCCAAAGCGTTTAGGTTTAGGCACCCAGAGAGCCTGATCCAACGTAGGGGCTGATAAAGTAAGAATAACCCTCAGGGTCCATGTACTCATGTAGTATATGCATTGGCCTTAATGTAGTCCCTATATAGGTACTTTGGGGCTCATGTATCTCTATATGGGTACATGGACCCTTAGGGTAAGGTCTTGGGTTTGTGTGTGTGTGTGTGTTACGAGAAGCCAGAAGCCTCAAGGGTCTACGTACCACTGTTGATGATAAACATCCTGCATTACCTTAAGGACCCTAAACTATGGGAAGTATTAAATTATGGTATATTCCTTATTATGGGTACTGCAGGATTTGTATCATCAACCGTAAGGAATAGTAAAATCTTCCGGCATCCATATTGCCTACACGGCGAATCATACCTACGTCAACCGGAGGAGCCCAAAGCTTGTCGGCCTTTTTTTTGGTCTTTTGGCAACCGTCGGTTTGTCAGTTTTACTTCAAATCATAAAATTGTTAATATTCAATGATACAACATATTTCCTGTCGTACAGAATGTTCTATAATATCTAAATTATGAGAGCTGAGCCAAGGTCAAGGGGCGACGTATGCCGAAACCCGCGGAACGCGGCCACGATTTCCTGGGGTGCGCCGGGCGGTTCGGGAAGTGGGGGTTCACTGTTTAGGGGTTTCGGGTTTTAGGATCTCAGATTTCAGGGTTTAGGGGTTTGGGGGTCTAGGGTTTTAGGATGTTTAAAGCCCAGATGGCAGAATGCAGACCTCACGTCTTCGTCAGCTCAAGCCTCGAAACAGCAGGCTATTTCCTGAAGAGCAATATAAAGGCCTAAATATTTTGAGTAGGGTTTTGGGGCCCATTACACTATAATCATAGTAAACCCCCCCTCAACAAAACAAAAGTATTGGTAAGTATTTCGGCCCCTATATACTTGTCGGATCGTGCCACTCTCTGAGGCCGTCGTATGTCAGCGGAACTGGATGGCAACAGCCCAATGAAAGCTCGTTATATTAGAGTGTAAAGAGGATTGAATCACGAGAAGGAGTATCTCTTTGGCAGGCATACATTAGTAGACCCCAAAACCCTATTCTAACTCTTATAGCCCCCAGCCTAAACATCAAAGCCCAAGTGACGGGACGGCCCGTGCGGCAGCACACTGAGCCACAAGACGAGAGAACCAGCAGTGCCCTGCAGCTGACACTTGAAGTTAAGGGGCTAGGGTTTAGGGTTGAGGGTTTTCGGGTTTCGGGTTTTAAGGCTTAGGATTTAGGATTCAGGGTTTAGCGCGTGGCAGTCATCACAGGCAACGATGGTAATGATACTCGTCGTAGCAGTGGTGGGATAATAGCTCTAGCAATGACGCCGGTAGTGACCGTAGCTTACTTGGAGGTTCATGGGTAGGTATAAACGGGGTTATAAGTCTGTTATATGGGTTATAACTATGGACTTATAATATAGCTACCCATGAACCGCCAAGTAGCTCCAAACAGGTCCAATGCTTTCCCTCTAAACCTTGGGGTTTACGATAGCATAGCTACATAAGGGCTACACGGGGATACTAGCACTAGCTAGTTTGATTTTGGTATAGTTACATGAGGTTCAAGCCGCAACGCACTCCATGCACCACAAACCTCAGACACTTACATCCCTGCTCGTGTCAGCCGCCTTGGTGCACATTCGAGTGCATTAATTACTGTGCTGTGTAAGAATCATGAGGGAATATTGCTAATTACTAAATTGTGTCACCCAGACCTCGACTCTAGACTATCCTCCAGTCTAAACCCCAGAAACCTTTAAACCAAACGTGCCCCCCTCCCCTCAATTACGTAAAGAATATAGCATAAATCATAATATGAAAGGTATATTCCTTAATTCAGGGGTATTGAGCTCTCTGGGCATGCTGTCCCGGCCTCTACTGGCTCTGCCTCTTTTTGGAGGCACTCCGGGCAGCCTGGGAAGAGCGACTTTCAACCCCACCACTTTGCCCCACACGGTCCTTAAGTGAAGACTTCGGTTTAGGGTGTAGGGGAACATACCTTTAGATGAAGGGGTGCTTACGATTATGCTTATATAGTATGAGGAATGTACTTATATAGTATGAGGAAGGTACTGAAGGTATATGCCTTAGACTTCAGCCTTCAGCCGTAGATAACCCCGGCTCTATCAGCGCTTGATAGCATTTTACCACCGATTTGTTACAGGGCCTGTGGGCTTCATAAGGGTTTAGGGTTTAGGGTTTAGGGGTTTAGGGGTTTAGGGGTTTAGGGTTTAGGGTTTAGGGTTTAGGGTTTAGGGGTTAGGGTTTAGGGGTTTAGGGTTTAGGGTTTAGGGGTTTAGGGTTTAAGAAAGACCCTGAAAACACCCAGTGAGGAGGTGTCTGGGGGCAGGATCGTCGTAGTTGTAGGCGAGTGGAGGTATATGATGGCAGGTATGTGATTGGGTACTTTTGAAGCTTCCCTGAACCCCCGAAGTTGCGCCAATGACTCGCTCTGCTGCGCCAGGCCGCTGCGTCCACTTCTTGGCCCAAAAGATGGAGACCAAGTGCCCAGACGACGATGGAATCCTGCAAGGCGGACAGCATGTATCCCTAAGACCCCAATATACAGGCGTGAAGAAGTGGCACTAATGCACCCCTCGTAGTTCCGATAGCTTATTATGAGAGTCTAGGATGTACATGGGAACGGTATTGTAAAAGTTTAGGCCCTGTAAAAAACAGTTTTTCCTTGTTAAGCCGCCATAAAGCCCTTATATAACCCATCTAACACCCTGTTAAGACCGAACCTCTGTTCAAGTTATTCAGGCCTTGCACAAGCCATAAAACCCTAAACCCTTATGTTAGCCTTTGCCCGCCTGGGACCACGCGGAGAGCACCGAGCTCGGCGGTGGTGTCCTGTCCACGACTCCCACCCTTGGGTTTTGGGGCGAGTTTAAGGGTTTAGGGGTTTAGGGGTCTTATGTAGGCTTTATAAGGGCTTGGAACGATTTATAGAGCTTTACAAGGATGCTCCTTTAAGGGCTCATGCAATGCGAGTTAGGGCCTTTTTAGGGCAGTTTCGAATTTCGCAATATGGTTTCGGTCTCGAGACTTTTGGTATAAAGTTACGGGTTGTCAACTCTCGACTTCAAGCATGAGGGGCAGTTGGTTTGAGTTTCAGGGTTAAGGGTTAGGGGTTTGAGGTTAGTGTTTGCCTGCAGGTCCGGCTTGCTGGGCAGGTGGTTTGGGGCAATTTCCGGCTTGGCGATGTTTCGGCGGGTTGCTTAAAATTTAGGATCCTTATCATAACACTTGCTTACCCCAAAACAGAACTACAATGAAGAATGAAAACTCTAGGTAGCTTAGTTGCTGAGTTCATAGGCCCCCAAAACTGTACCCTTCCAGTTTTAGAGGGGGTAAAATTATCCCAAAAAGTGCAAAGTGTATCCATTCAGCTACTAAGGTAGGGAGGCTCTCGGAAACTTTCCAGCCGTCTCTGCGACCCACCCGTCCTCGAGGTAGACGATGCCTTGCACGGCAAACGGCACCGGCCTCCGCCGACAGGATTTAGGGGTTCCCTTCAAGGGATCTTCAAGCGTTCCTTTCAGGTTCTTTAAAACTTTGAGACTTCCTTTCAGGCATCTACAAGGGTTCCTTTAAGGGGTCATTAAGGTTCCCTGGAAGAGTTTAGGGTCTCCCTATAGAGGATTATGGGACTTAGAAACTAGGCTATCATGTAGGTTGCAAGGGAAATGTCAGCTCTCATCCAAGCTCGAAGACTTTGTTCCAGAGCTCCAGGCAGCCTTACAAAGCCCTTGTAAACCCAACTGTGTAGTTCTCCGAATTGGGGCCCCTTTTTACGTTCCCGAAATGATAATGCGGTGCCCTCATAAACAAGACCGCAAAAGGGACCCTCATTTCTAGAATTACCCAACTCTGCCTCTTATAAACCCCAACGACGAAACAGTAGCAGCCCAAAAGTTTGAACCCAAAGGCCTCAGCCCCTTCGCGCAAAGTATAGGGAATCCCAGCACTAATTGTCCTTAATCCGGTTTTCAACATTTCGGGGTCCACTATAAACCTCCCCTCCCAGCTCCAGTCTCGCCATAACCCCGAAGCCCGAACCTGGTACCCTAACCCCTGATCCTTGAAGACTAAACCCACAACCCTGAACCTTGAATCCTCACCCATAAACCTTGAAGACTAAACCCTAAACCTTAAACCCTAAAACCTTAACCCTAACTCCCAAACCCCAAAAACCCCCTCCAGTTCCAGTCTTCCCAGCTCAGCCCAGCGCCAGTGGCCTTCACCTTCGGCTCTTTTGGGTTTGCGTGTCTGGAACCCGCAGCACGCAAGGGCTCTATGATAAAGGCTCGATGGTAAGGGTTCTATAATGAGGCTCTATGATAAAGGCTCTGTGATAAGGGTTTTATACTTAGGCTCTGTAATAAAGGGTCTATGGTAGCGATATACTTGGGAGCTGGGCGAATCTTGAGAATAAGGGTTCGGGAATAAAGGTTCGATGATAAGGGGCTGTCCAATTTTTGGGAGTTTCCGAAAATTAGGAGTACCTTATTCTGGGGTCCTTATAATAAAGATCCTACTATTTCGGGTACTATATTAGGGTCTCCTATTTTGGGAAACTCCAATATTGAGGGCTCCATAACAACGGTTCGACAATAAGGGTTCTGTAGCAAGGCTTCGACAACAAAGGTTCTATCGAAAAGACGGGTTCTGCACGGAGGGTTTTTTCAGGGGAGTATGAACCATAAGGAGGAGTATATGGTACTCACACAGTACCAAAAAGGAAGTTTACTGCGTGGATCACTAAGAGGGCTACTGCAAGGGCGCTTGTAGTAGCGCTGCTACCGACTACCAAAGGCTGATTATGGTGGTTCTACAAACCCTAAATCCTAAACCTCAACACCCAGACGCAGTCCCGGCAGGTTTTCGATTTTGTAAGGAATTTAGGGTTAAGTAGTAGTATATTTGTTTTTAAGGAACAACCAGAATGTGTTTTTTGGAGTAATTAATACGCCTCCCCGTGCAGCTGCTTCACAGCGTCATCTTCGCAGCTCATGCGCGAGCCGGACCTCAGCACCGGACGACCTCAACGAACCGCTTGACCCTGAAGCTTCCCTGAAGCTTCCTATGAAGCACTAAGCCTAAAACACCAAAACTCAAAAAACACCCAAGGTACTGAAAACCCTACTGTACCGACCCCCACCCCCCCCGGAATCCTCTCTCATACTCTCATAGACTTCACTCAAAGCCTGTAGTCTGAAACCACCCGGGCCTGTCTCGATGTCCCAGTGTAAGCCCTTGTGCACCTCCCCAGGGGCGGAAAGAACCCTGATCTTCAGGGTTTAGGGTGAATCTAGAGGTCAAACTAACCGGCAACGCTGTTCCCTGTCTTAGTTTCTATGTAAGTTGTTGAGGATATTAAGGCCCTATGCTGGTTTGAGCGAGTTGGAATTAGGTTTTGGGTATTAGGGTTAGGACATAAATTAAGGGGGCCTGCAGGGGTGATAACATGTCTTTCATATCTTGCAGGGATAACCTGGTTTTCATACCCTGCAGCATGTGTGCAAAACCCACAGTTCCCGCATTCCGCATCGATGCTACACACCTATACAAAAGGCCCCTGCAAAAAGACACTGAATAGAATAAGGTTTTGGGGCCCATTATAGTATGGGTACAGTAAGGAACCCCTAGGCCCCTGTATCACGTGCCCAGGAACAAGAACTTGAGCTTCTTGCCCCGGTGGCATCGGCAGATTGTTGGGGGAATGCACCCCCATTTCTTCCCATCGGCGCTTAACCGGCTTTAACCATAGACCTAGACCCTAATGCGAAAACTGTTCATAACATAACAATACTAGTAATGGGGGGTCATCATGGTAGTAGTAATTACGGCAACCATAGTAGTATTAATGGTAATGGAATCGTGATGATACTCGTAACAACATAATAAGACGAGAAAGAGTAGCAACAACAGAATGAGATTATGAATAGGTAGAACCTTGTATTTGCAGTAACAAAATGATGAAAGTATGAATATGAAGAATAAGACGACTAAGAACTAGTATTGATAGTCATAAACCTAGTAAACTTGAGACTGCGAATACTAACACCAAGAATCACCATCATCGTCATCATAATGACGCTCATAGGCCACCATATGGGTGGTTGTCAAAATTAGGATCCCTTTTTGGGTCCGTATTATAGTACGGCACGTAATATTTAGGGTACCCCAAAATAAGGTGCCCCTAATTTTCGGAAACTACCCATGTAGTAAAGATAGTCGGGCCTCACCAGGATCTGACCACTCGGGGAATTGCTCGCTCTCGGGCGCCTTGAAATGGGCACCTCGGGTTCAGGGCTTTGGAGATTTAAAGTATCGGGTTTCGGGCTTTAGGGGTTTAGGGTTTTGGGGTTTATTTAGGGTTTCGGGCTTTCAGGGTTTCGAGTTTGGGGCTTTAGGGCTTTAGGGTATCATGGGAAACTAAAGGTTAACCTTTTTGGTTATATAGGGAATCTATAGGGGCTATACTACCCAAAAAAGGGTTAAAGGTTACCTACTCGACTACGAGGTTTAGGGTTTTGGGGTCCACGAGGTTTCGGGCTTTAGAGTCCCGGGTTCAAAGCTTGGGCTTCGGGTAGAGTGCTTTAGAGGTCTAGGGAATTGGCATCTTCGCGATTCAGAAGTGGCTTAGTGTGAAGGGCTTCAAAGGTTTAGTAACCTAGCACCTATAATCCCTAGGAGTTTGGTTATCATGGAAAATAAATTCTCAAGGCAATAAAAGGTGAAAGTAATCTTCAACTGTCCAAGGCTCGATCGGTGGTCACAAACAGCTGCTCCGTGCCATAGATGTCCGAGAAGATGGCATGAATGCTCGGATCCTCTGATCCGGATATCGAGCTTCTAGGGTCTAGGTCTTTTTTTTTAAAGTGTGTTGGGGCCTTTTCTCGCAGAAGGTTCTAGGGTTTAGGGTTTAGGGTGTAGGGTTTAGGGTTGTTATTTGCAGGCGCTCAGGGTCAAAATCTGTAGGGTTTAGTGTACGTCTTGCAGCTACGACGTTGCTATGGTTGGTGTGACAGAGCCGATTGCCTTCCTGCCGCAACTGCTTCTTGCATAACAGAACCTTAGATGGCCACAAACTGAGAAGGACTTTCAGAACAGGGGACCCTCAGAAGATCCCCCTCCCCCCGACAATTGCTACAAGTACACAGGTAACTAAATACGTATAACCCGAGTTAAGTTAGCTATCTATATCTGTGTATTGTTGTCTATGCAGACATACGTATAGACATCTCTCTCTCTCTCTCTCTCTCTCGCTCTCTCTTCGTCTGGCTATGCCTGCCTCTAAATGCTAAGGTCGGTATTCGGTTCACAGGTATAGAGCTCAGGATTCAGGTATATTCGATGTAGGGTCCGTGGTATACAGGGTTACGACAGCACAAGGGCCTTTGGGTAATGGGGTAGACGGGGTGTCATGGTTTCGGCTCTTCGGGTATGGCGAGTTTAAGAGCTTTACGCAGACTTTTCGGCATTATGGGGGGTCGGGGTTTAGGAGTATTGGTAACTGCATTTTGCGGTTCACCTCCGGGTTCTGCAACTTTGTCCCCTGAATTTGTGCCTGCCGCAAGTCCCACAGCGTGGAGTGATGATACATCTGGACCATTCCTCGGGACATGACTCTAGGAGGGTACCGGTTTAGGAGTTATCATGACAAGGTTTCTACGTTTCTACACTAGGGCACCACCCGATACGACGTAAGCAAGTGGGTCGTTGCGCATTGAGGAAGGCTCAAGCATGCAATGCCAAGCACCTCCCAATCCATCAAGCGAGCACGTCTTACGGTCTTGCTGCTCCAGCTTCCTAAGATTAGTTAAAGGCACACCTGTGCAACTACAGAGCGTTTAGTTATATGACTGAGAAAGGTTAAAGGTTGCCTACTCTACTACTAAGACGTAGCATGTAGCCTTCTACACCGTGGTGTTTGCTGCGACACAGATCACAATCTGCCTCAGGCGTTGCTTCAAACCCCCGAGCCCATAAACCTTCAAACCCCTAAACTCTGAAATTGCTGCGCCCTAGCCTCTGAAACTGCTAAACCCTCACACCCCTAAATTCTGAAATTGTTGCACCCCAACCCGTGAAACTGCTAAACCTTCAAACCCCTAAACTCTGAAACCGCAAACCCTAATGACGCTCCCTCAAACCCTTTCATACACTCTGAAACCTCTTCTTAGTTGCTGAGTTCTTAAGCCCCAAAAAGTGCGCACTTTCAGGTCTATAGGAGGTAATATTATCCCCAAAAGTGTAAGGTGTATCCACTCAGCTACTAAGTCTTAACCCTCGAACCTCTGAAACTCAGGACCCAGTCTCAGTCGGGAAACCCTTATAGCCCCACTAAAAAAATAGCAAAGAACACTACTTAAATTCATCATAGATATCACTGCACCTCACCCCAAATCCTGAACCTCTAGAGTTGTTAAGGTAGCAGGGTTGCACTTGGCTTCTATCGCTCTCGGCCTATCGTCCCTGAAACACTTCTTGCGATGATTTCATGCATTGGCCCCGGTGTGCTAAGAGAGGTTTCCTGGGTTGTATAGGGATGCATGGAATCTTGGCACCGCTTTACGGATCTTGTGAAGGATTGCGGAAAAAGGTATCGAAGTGTTGAATGCCCATAGGGTTTCTCGAATGTCGCCCGCTGACGACATGCCCCCTCTTTCTGAGGGTTTAGGGTTTAGTAATTTTAGGGTTTATGGGCCACGTTATTCGGATCACTTGAGTCTTGGAAAAAGCCAGTGCTAGGAGAAGGATCTGCCGACACCGTTTTGCACGGCCAAGGTTCCACAAGGACCATGGTGAGGGCGCTTTCCATCCGGTAGGGTGTCTGTATAGATGTCCAGCTTGTTCTTGTACCTGGGAAGCGAACCCCAAACCCTACCCGGGAACTCTACTCCAAACCCCAAGCCCTAAACCCACACCCTAAACCCGATGCTGAAAAACCCACCATGAAGGATACTCCGGGAGATTTATAGTGAACCCCAGAAAGTTGGAACATGGATTTAGGAGGATCAGTGCTAGGATTCCCTATACTTTGCTTTAAGGGCATGAGGCTCATGATGTTCCAACTTTCTGGCTTCTACTGTACCTAGTCCGAAATTCAAGCTTCACTCACAATCCATTACGTGGACTCTAGATTGGAATCTCCTCGTCGGGTCGTCCCCTCTGCTTTTTCCCTACTTGTCGGGTATCATGGGGAACTAAACGTTAACCTTGTTGGTTGGTTATAAAGTAAAAGCCAGAAAGTTGGAATATGATTCTCCTAAGCCCTTTATGGTAAATTATAAGGTATCCTACCCTGAAACCATATTCCAACTTTCTGGAGTTCCCTTTATAGGGATTATATAGGGACTATACTGCCCAGAAAAGGTTAAAGGTTACCTACTCGACTACTAGGTTTCTGGGTCACGGACCGGAAAGGTGAGAGAAGCACCTAAGCCCATCTCCCCCTGTCACCTTACGGCGCAACTACCCAGACCTCCTAGAGGATCTAGAAAGTCAATCCCCTAATTTGGGGCCCTATACTACCAAGGCTACTTTATAGGAACCCCCCACTAAGGGATCTACTTTTTGGACCCTCCCGGGGGTTTGGGCAGAAACGTGCTGGTTGATGCAGAACACCATCTGAAGAAGCACCCTGCGCTAGAAAGAAGGAAAGCAGCCCTTACCTAAGATTTATGTAACTCAAGTCTGAAGGGCTGTAGAAGACTGTAGGAGAAGAAGGTTGGGCAAAATCAGATGATGCCTATGCAAGGGTGTGTATTAATGACAAATCCCATCTGGCCCGAAGACAAGACAAATATTTGCCTCGACTAAGGGCAGACTGTCACATCAATCCCGCCGTATCCTGACAAGCCATCCGAGAACCCTTGATGAACATGGCTTACAGAAGCCACGCGGAAGCAGGCAAGCCGACTCCCCCGAAGAGCCAACACAGAGAAGCACGGAATGTCACCAAAGACGAGATTGTCGAGATCATCTGATGTGTTGTACTTCCGAGGAATGGCACGAGCTACCACACTATGCCATTCAGAAAGTCATAGTCGAAGACCCCAAGCCCATATCAGACAAAACTACCACGAAACAGTATGCTCAACCCTAAACCCTAAACCCAAAGCTCCTGTACAACGCTACAAATGGCCCTACTTTTAAGCCGAACTCCTCTGAACAACCCTATGGCAGCAGTTTAGAACCCGGAAAGTAGTCCTGGTTAGACCCTTGTAGAACCCTAGAGAACCCATGACTCAAAAAAGCTACACAACAACCCATATCAACCCTAAATCCCACTTCTGAGAGCCCTACACAAGAACCGATGTTTTACCCTAAAATACTGAACCCCAATCCCTAAAACACATCTGTGGCGGAGATGCCAGGAGTCGGGGTCTTCCCGCTTCGCCCCGACAAACCTCGCTGAAGGAGAGCTCTACGAGGGCTTTGTAAGGCTTTCTCTATCGGGATTGTACCTATAGTCTCCCTTGTAGTTCCTCTTTCTGGTTTAACCAATCTTATAGTAAGGATCCCAAACGGTATCCCCAAAAAGGAACTACAATGGAGACTATCGATAGAAGGGATCTACGAGGGTTCCATCAGATCGAGGAGATGATAGAAGCCTGAATCCCAAGCCCCAAGCCCTACCTTGAGCTACCACAACCGACCTGCTTTGCAGGGTCCTATAAATCCCGTATTAGGCTTCATTGTGACAGCCTCCGAAAAAGTCGGTGTTGGTAGGTTAAGGTAGGGTTTAGGCATGAGGTCGAGTAGCTCGTAGATGGCGTCTGCCGCACGCTTTGCCTTCGCGGTGTCGACAGCGCCGGGCACGACGAGGACACCCCGGGCGGCCCACGACTCATACCTTGGGTTTGTGTCGTATAGGGTTGTGGGTTTCGGGGCTTTGGGTTTAGGAGTGTTCCAGGGCTTAGTGTTTCAGGGCTTAGGGAGTTTAGGGTGTCGGGTTCCAGGGTCTCTGTCGGGAGTCAATGCGGCTCAGGACGTTTGCGAGTTCTGACAGGGTGCTTTGGGCTGGCATAGGGGCCTTTATAAGTGAATAGGGTTTCGGGATGTTTTGGGATCCGTTCTAGAATGGTAACTATTACAGCCCTTAAAGGAACCCTGTTCTACCTATTTCGGCCCCGATACAACTGGGCTCGTTTCTGCAGCCCGGCGGCTGCTCCTCCGTCAGGTACCGCAACGGCCACGTCCGCTTGGGAAAGATCACGGCCTGGTCATGGCTCCTTAAAGGGTGGATTTCTAATGCAGGAACCTGATTTAGAAACCTTGGACCTTTATTGGGGGTCCTTATATGAGTCCTACTATTTGGGGGGTTATAGGCCCAGGGTTTCTTAATCAGGTTCCTACATTGCTATAAGGGTTCAATATGTGGCGCCTTGATTGGCCTAGGTTTGGGGGTTATATCATGCTAAACTTGTACTTGGGATTATACGGCCCTAAACCCTAAACCCTAAACCCGAAACCCTAAACCCTAAACCCTAAACCCTAAACCCAACCTCTGTATTAGAGGCTTTAGGGCTGATATTGTTCTTGGGGTTGAGTGTTTCAGGCTTTCGGGCCCATTTCAAGGACTTTCACGGTTCAGGCAAGGAGTCCGTGGAATTGGGAGACCCAACACCGTGCATTCACGAAAAGCGGAGACACAACTCTACTTGATTCTGCGAAGCTATTTCAGTGGCATGGCGATGCGAGCCAATAATAGGCCAACATAGGTCCCAGCACACCCGAGACCCATGATGTATATGTCCACAAGAACAGCCCTAAATCCTGAACTCTGACACATCCGGAAAGACCTCAACCCTACCCTAAACCCTAAACCCGAAACCCTAAACCCTATCCCAAGCCGCTCTTCTGCCTCACCAGGGTCTGCTTCCGCTGTCGGCGCCATGAGCTCCGGGCTTCTTCGTATTGTTGTTATTCTTCTGCGCGTTGCCGCCGTTGGTCGATGTTATGTGAGGCCATATATACATACATACATACATATATATATATATATATGTAACCACATATATAGATACACACATACAAGTTCATATCTGTTTACACATTTCACCATATCTAAATAAATCAATGTGAGCATAAAAATAAGTTTAAGTATAAATAAATAAAGAACTAAATAAATACTCACATATATAATATACCCATACCTTTCTCCTTCCTTTTTCCATAAGTAAAACCTACATATATGTATATGAGATGTACAAACAAACAAACAAATACACACACACACGTATATATATATATATATATATATATACATATGTGTGTGTGTAAGCATGCTTGTGTATACACACATAGCGTTCGCAGCAATTTGTTTCAGTTTACCCTCGGCTTTTGTTGAGTTTCTACTTAGGGCTGCTCGTAAGGATTCTACAGGGCTTCTATATAGTTAAGGGTTCCGGGATCAAGAAGACGTGTGGCTAGCCCGCGTTATCCAATTTGTAGCTTCCGTGATTCTCATAAAGTTTCAAAGGTCCCCTGATCCTTCAAGAAGCGTGCAGGAAACCTACTGACCTTAAGGCACAAACCTCAAGAAAGTGTTGAATCTTATCAGTTCCAGCCTGCTTTGTGAATGTGCTGTCTTGACAGGCTCGTTTTCATGCCAGGGTTTAGGGTTTAGGGTTTCGTATCAAACAGGATAGGCAAATATCCAATCACCAAGAATCCTGACAAGCTCTGCATACAGTCGCCGAACTACCAACTCTACATCATAATTCATCTTCAAACTCTAAACTGAGACTTGCAAGGCATCTTCGCAGCCGTTCATATCATGAGCTGATCTTCGAACGCTCCAAGTCTTTCCGGCAGACGATTGTGTCTAACGCTGTTCGCACTTCTTGCTACCGCCGCGGTCCTCACCAGTACTGCTACTCCTGCTATAGCTCCAGTGCCTGTAGGATCCGAAAGAGCTCTTCAAGGTCTTTATGCGCTGTCACAGTAGCGCCAAACTATATCTAAGCACCCAGTCGCCCTAAACCCCGTATAAACCTGAACAACAACGATTGAACGTCGTTCACAACACCAAGAAGCCCCAGGAAAGTCTACCCAGTGTTGACACCCGCCAGAAAAGCTTGAGTTCTACAATCCTTCACAGAGGCCGAGCATATCTCTTGTACCCTAAACCCTACACCCCCACACCCCAAAACCCTAAGCCCCAAACCCAAGTAAAAGATCCGTCTGCAGTAGAAACCCAAAGTTGGAAACCCCATAGCCTCAATCCTTCAGAGTCATGTATAGGGTCTCTACTTCTTAAAGGCCCTATATTAGAGCCCTACTATATACTAGATCCCCTAAACCCCAAACCCTAAACCCTAAATCCCTAAACCCTAAATGCCTAAGCCCTAAACCCCAAACCCTAAACCCTAAATCCCTAAAGCCCTAAACCCTGAATCCCTAATCCCTAAACCCTAAATCTCTAGACCCTAAACCCCAAACCCTAAGCCCCTAATCCTAAGAATCTCGATCCCTTACATTAGAACCCTACTACAGATCCCTTAAACCCCAAACCCGAAACCCCTAATCCCTAAATCCCTAAACCCCAAACCCTAAATCCCTAAATCCCTAAACCCTAAACCCTAAACCCCTAAATCCCTAAATCCCTAAATCCCTAAATCCCTAAACCCTAAACCCCTAAATCCCTAAACCCTAAACCCCTAAACCCCTAAACCCTAAATCCCTAAACCCTAAGCCCCAAACCCCAAACCCCTAAACCCCAAACCCCCAATCCTAAGAATCTCGAAGATTCTCACAGGGTCCCCCGGCTCGAGGCTTCCCAGGGCCTTCTTCGGCCTTGTGCTGAGCCTCTGGAGCTTTCAATTTTTTTCTTACATGGTGTTTTTTAAAGTTTAGGGTTCTTTTTCATTTAAGGGTTTGTTTAAAAGGGTTTTTCTTTAAAGGTGTTTTTCAAAGTTTAGGGTTTGAGGGTTTGGGGGTTTAAGGGTTTACGGGTTCAGGGTTTTAGGAAGGTTTGTCAGTTCTACTTTGTGGGAACCGTTCATATCCAGCTCTTCATACACTAGGGTACCAAATTAGGAGTCCATTTTTGAGTTTCTGTCGCGGGTCTGCACGTAGCTATTTATAACCCCAGCTTGGATACTCCCCCCAGAAGCACGTTAACCTAGGCATGTGTGTAGATTATGATATAGGAGTTTCCAAAAATAGGGGACCCTAATATAGCACCGTAAATAGTAGGATCCTTCTTATACTGACCTCAAAATGAGGTGCCGAAATTTTCGGACACTACCATGTTGTTACAGCCTGGGGATAGTGATGCCGACTATTGGGTCTTTCATACTGACAGTCATACTTCAAGTAAGCGCCCGGCGCCAGTGTAAACTCGAAGCCGAAAAGCTCGTAGATGTCAAAGACGAAGGACAAGGCTGAAGACACCTGGAAGGAGGCTACCATAGAGGCCTCAATGACTAGAATAGTGTTTTATGTTTTTTTTTTGTTCCTTCTTTTTTTGTGTTGTTGTTGGTACACTATTCGGGGATGTTGTTCTTTAATGTTCTTTACTGTTCCGGCCTGCAAGAAACTAAGGATAGTTTGGGAACGGAAAGTAGAAGGGTTTATCATGAACGCTAAGTTTAGTAGTATGATCCTTTTTCTTCGGACCACCAAGAAAAGGTACCGCGAATCTACGGTATAGCAGCACCAATGGCAAAAGCCACACATACTCGTGAAATTAACCCCATCGAGTGTATCACGTAATACGGCGGAAAATAAGTTAACTATTCAACGCTGGTGAACAAAATTCGTAAATAAGATCCTCTTAGGCCCAATAAGGGAACAAGTAAAATGTACAAACGGGAAGTTCATGCCCGAAAACCCTACAGGCCTCGTCCTTGATTTGGTCCTGTCTGAGGCGAGCTGAAGAAACGGAAGAGTCGGATGTGTATGTATCTCTATATGTGTGTATATATGTATATATGCAAGTTAATTGCATATATAAATATATATACACACATATATTATGTAATAACAAAACACAGCTCTCCCTCTCTCTCTCTCTCTCTCTCTCTCTCTCTCGCTGTACATATGTATGCATGTATGTATGGACGTATGTATTATTTATGTTAGGTTGTCATGCAAATTCAGGGTCTCTTGGTGAGGGTCCCACGTACCAAGGATCCTAGCCGCCTAGCATTTATGCTCCAAAGGAGTCGTGTGGGCTCACCGTCTGGATGCTTCCACCTCAGCTGTGGCTTCCTGCAGTGTGAGCTTGTATTGCTCTTGATTCCACATGTTTAAGGACATCTACAAAGAAATCATCATAAGGAACCCGAAAACGGTAGGTTATTCAGGGTTAAGGTAGGGCTTCAGTGCCTCTAGGACTTTTCAGGTTAGGGCCTCAGGGTTTCCAGATTTCAGGCTTAGGAGGTCAGTGTGTCGGGTTGTTTTCAGGTTTGGTTTAGGGCGGTAGGGTTTTGGGGGTCGAGGGGTGTGGGAGTAATGCGGAAAATCGTGAAGGAAGAGGGCTTTTTCCTACCTCACTTCTGAGCATCTGAGGGTCCTACTGGTTACTAGTTTGCGCGGACAGATTGATTGAGTACTAGAAGTGCCCCCGGTCAACAGCCTCCTGCATCTCTACTTGCTGGCACCCCTCACACAGCATGTGAGATTGACACCACCGCTTGACGAACACGCCAATTTAGCACTGCATGGTGAATCTCATGCTCTGATTCAAATTTGTCGCCCATGCGGGTGCTCTTCAAGCCCTCCTTCCTGAGCCTTTGGCTTGCAGGCTCACATAGGGGTTCTTGGCTAGTTGCTGCACCGTTCTTCGTGCAGGCAGATCCTGATGCTGGTGAATATCGCTCGCCAAAGCGATCCTTGCTGACATGGTGCCGGAAAGGCTTCATTGGCGGTAACAGCCTCTTGCTTTGTAGGAGCTGAACATGTTCAGGGTTCAGATTTTTGGCACTTCGGGCAGTTACAGCACGTACTGGAGCTATCTTTCTGCGCGTGTAAGCACGACGCCGACCCTACACCCTTCGCCCAACCACCCCAATTCTCGACCCTACGCAGTTGCAGACCTTTTGAGGCATCGAGCTTCGGGTCTTCCTGGGAATGTGTGAACCGAGGAGATTCTAACAAACCGGAAGACGGTTATGAGCAAAACCAGAAAGCAAAGCGCTGTAGTTCCCAACCTGATTTCGCGTGCCCCCGACATGGCAAGCCCTTCCTGGAATAGACCGCTGAAGTGCGTGAAACCATCTCCTTTAAGAAAAAGTGTTATGTAAAGTTTCGTACTCCAAAGCCCAGGAACCCCTAGATCCCATAATCTAAGCCTCGCAAGCCTCAAAACAGAAGCAAATTCAATCACCCTACACCCTTAAATCCCTAAACCCCTAAAGCCCAAAACCCCCTTCTGAGACCCTAAACCCTAAACCCCTGAACCCTAAACCCCTAAACCCCCTAGGCCTTAAAGCCCTAAATCTTTAAGCCTTAAACCCCCCGTAAACCCTGTAGATCCCTTAAAAGGAGGCCTCTTTCCAGGAACCCTAGCCCCCCTAAACCGGACTGCAAGGGTCAAAATTCATTCAATATAACCCTACACCCCAAATCCCCAAACCCCTAGAGACTAAACCCCGTAAACCCCTAAACCCCTAAACCGGTAAAGCCCTGAACCCCTAAACCCCGGAACCCTAAACCCTAACTAGACCTAAGAGTAACCTAGGAATAAAAAGGGTGCCCTTTTTGGTTTAAAGGGGTTTATAAGGGAACCTGAACCCTAAAAAAAGGGAATAAGGGCCTACTCTGGGTCCTAGCTAAAAGCCTAAACCCCTAAACCCTAAACCCTAAACCCCTAAAACCCCTAAACCCCCAAACCCTAAACCCCCTAAGCCCCTAAACCCCCTAAAAAAGGGGTCCTCACGGCAGAAGATGTGGGCATCGTCCTGCTGAAATCGGCGCCTTAGAGCTCGGATGCCCCAGGTTTTTACGGGTTCCCTCTTGGGGGGGGGGGACTTAGGAACTCTAAGGGGTTCCTTTAAAGGGCCCCCTTTAAAGGGATCTATAGGGAGTCTCTAAGGGTTTAGGGTTTAGGGGGACTTAGTAACTGGCTATGTTAAGGACTTGTAAGTACCATAGCCCCAATTAGGGTCCCTTTTGGGGTACTTGTAAGTCTACTTACTACCTACTTACTAAGTCCCCCGACCCTCCAAGCTCGCCCTAGGGTTCCTAAAAAGGGGCCCTTAAAAGGGGTCTAGAAGGGCTTCCCAGTGCGTCCCAGCTGTGTGCGCTATAAGGGCTTCCATAGGGTGTAGGGGCCTTAACTACGTACCCATACTATTTTGGGGGTTCCTTTTAGAATAATCCTGTATGGGGCTCTGATAAGAGTTCCCTGCGAGTTGCTGTATTGGTTCAGGGTTACTGCAAGGCATCGCACAAGAGTCCTCATAAGAGCTCTTATGAGGATTCTTACAACGGCTCTAGAACTACAAGAGTGCGTCAGGGTTGAGGGTTTCGAATGGTCAGGGCTTCCGGATGGGCCGGATTCTATATGACCTCTAGGGCTGTGAGCTTTCACTTGCTTTAGGTTAGTGTTGCAGAGATCTCTGATCAAAACTACGGATTCCGGGCTCGGACTGTACTATGGCGGCCTCCAAGTAATTCGACTGAACTGGAGCTGCAGCGGCGCTTGATAGCATCAAGCGTGTAGGGCAGCCCGACAAAAGTCCTACCAGCTACTTACGCTCCTTCCGTGAACATGGGCCCAGTGGCTTAGGGTTTAGGGTTAAGGGTCATGGCGTACTTGTATAAGGGCCATAATATGATACAACAAATGGTTGGTAGTGGATGGACGGATGGATGGATGGATGCATACACGCACATGCATGCATGCATGCATGCATGCATGCATACACCTGTTCCAATATCCCGATCTGAAGCCTCAGGCTAGCTTTTCTTCTCCCCGGGACTCGCAGTGCACGAAGTCACCGCTTCGGGGTGCTCTCTGAACTCCCCGCGCCATCCTCCACTCCGAAAGCCACAGGGACTCAGGGTTCAATTTTCTAGGGGCTTAGGCTTCAGAGTTTAGGGGTCTAGGGACTTAGGGTTTAGGGCTTTAGGGCTTTAGGGATTAGGGTTCAGGTTTTAGGGTTCAGGATTTAAGGGTTTAGGGGTTCAGGGGGGCTGGGGATGAGAGTTGAGGATCTAAGTTTCGGCTTTTGAGGGTTACCGGCTTTCGGTCGGCCGGAATCCGAAGCAGGGCGGCAGGGTTTAGGGTTTAGGGTTTAGGGTTTAGGCACCCCTGTCTGGCGAGAATGAGGGATTCTCTTGAGATCAAGGCCTCAAGGCCGGCTTGCAACAACCCAAAACTACGTGACGGCGGCTGGCTTTGGCGCTCTTTGGGGTGTCCTAACTGGTGAATTGAACCCTAAAGCCCCTAAACCCTTCCTTAACCCCCCAAAAACCTACCCTTTCGGGGGCTTATATAAAGAAATCATGATCGGGGGCCCTAAACGGATAGCTTCCTTAAGGTCCAGGTTCAAACTTAAACCCAATCCGAAACCTGGCATCTGACAGATTCTGGGTGTATGGAACCCCACCTATAGTCTCCATTGTACTTGGAGGTTCATGGGTAGTTATGAGTGGGGTTATAAGTCCGTGAATATGGGTTATAACTATAGTTATCCTACTTACAACCCTATTATAACTAACTAAGAACCTCCAAGTAGTTCCTTTTTCTGGTCTTACCAATTTTATATTAAGGATCCTAAAAGGGAGCCCCAGAAATGAACTACAATGGAGACGAGAGGCACAAGCGAAAATAACACAGGCTCGTCACGCATACGACTCCCCGCGCGCGCATGCAACTTTGACAGCATTTGAGCCCAATTCATCTGGGGGCCTTAATCATAAGAATAGGTTTTGGGAGGTACACTATAATACTATAATATACTTATAATAAGGAAGCCCACCCAAAATAGTACGATAATTATTTCGGCCCCTTTATCAGTTTGGGGCCTCAAGCTCGAAACCCTAAGAACACCGGGGACCGTGGCGTTGTTCTCGAGTCCAGACGCTCGGAAACTTCAGGTTTGGAGTTTCACCACAGCCGGGCTCCAGGGGCTTCGGTGTTTAGGGTTTTACTGCGCTTTGAAGTCAGCAGGGAGAAAAAAGTATAAACTTTGATTTCATAATGGTTCCCTTTACTTAAGTAACAGGTCCCCCAAAAAAGTGTTAAAGTATGGTACTCCAAAGCCCAGTTTAGGGTGGTTTTGGACTCTAGGGGTTGCTGCGGTTAGGGTTCAAGGGCTAAGCAGCTGCACACCTGCATTCTGAAACCGGCATCATTCAAAACTCCTCACCCGAAACTGGTGAATCTGATATCTGACTGCAGAGACATCGGATCCTGGAGCACCAGCCTCTCTCTGGCACAGGGGCAGAACCCGCCCAAGGAGAGAAAGGTCGCAAGAAGCTCCGGGTTCAGTCGAACATTGTCTTGCGGCTGATTGCAAGCATACTATAGCTGCTAAGAGCCTTTGATACCCGGTGCTCCGAATTTCTGTGCACACCTCTCGGTGGGATGGTTCCACGTAGGAAGACATGTGGCTGAGCTGCACCAAGGCTTCGCAACGTCGCGGCCGCTTTATATAAACAATCTCGTAAAGCATGTTTATGGTTTACGGCTCAAGGATTCCTAAGGTGGCTTGTGCGAGCATCTGAGAAGCACTCTTTCTAAGGTAATCTGCGCAAGATTACAGCGGCCTGCCTAGCTTTGGAGTCAGCCGTTTGGTTTCACGAGTTCCTGCTGCACTGGCATCTCACTCTGGGGGCTTTGGGAACAGGATTCGTATTGCTTGTCGGTTTGCCTGAGAAGCTAACATCTCAGCTTTCGACGCATCATGAGCCTATGCTACTCCGAAAAGGTTAAAGACTGGAGTCGTGGTTCGGGTGCCGGGCGTCAATGTTGACATGGGCTTGGTACTTCCGATTTCCTATACCTGCTGCGATCTGCTGCGGATCCCCATTCAGGCTCAAGCACTCGGCCATGTATCTAGACGCGTCGAAACCGTGGGACCACGCCTCAAATTAAGACGAATCACACGGATGTTCATGTGCAGCGATGTAACTACAAAAACTGATCGCAGATCGTGGCTGAAACTGTAAGGGCATGCGCAACTGCTTACAGAACTGAACATACAGCGGGCTTGTTTGCTGACACAAAAAGGGATAAAAAGGGCGCTGTTGTGGCTACTGCTACTGCTCCAGCTCGCGTTGCTGGTGTTGTTGCATACGTTGCCACGTTGCCGTTGCAGTTGCCCCTGTGGCGACGGCTGAGGCGAAAGCTGCGGCAGGGGCGCGATTGAGGTTGCAATTGCGGTTGTTGTTGCTGTTGCTGCTGTTGCCGCTGTTGCTGCTGCTGTTGTTGCGGCAGCTGTTGTAGTCATTGTCATTGTTGTTATTGTTGTTGAAGTTGGGGCCTTACTCCGAAAGCTTCTCGTCTCGCATCTTTGCCATACGGGTATACAAACAATATTCTTGTGATTGGCCCCTTGGACATACACTCGTGAAACACGCACCCGTCTGCATTCACATAGGCGGCATATCTGAGGGATTCAGCATTAGAAAAGGCTTCCGAGGTACAGAATCGTAACACTATAATGAGCAACCCCTCCCACTTCTTGTGGCCCTGTACTACAGCCGTAGTCCCGACACAAGCGATGGTTTCGACATTAGACTGGAAGATGTATGAGGCGGCAAGGGCTTGCAACATTTTGGCCCCTAGGGTTTACCGTAGAAGCCCAAAAGTTGGAAACCCCAGAGCCTCCATCCTTAAGAGTAATGTATAGGGAATCCCAGCACTATGTGACCTTAATCCAGTTTCCAACTTCATGGGGTTTACTGTAGGGTTTAGATATTGCTAAAGAAGCTGCTGAAGATGCTGATGCTGCGGCTGCTGGGGTTGCTGGTGGTAACGCGATAGTGATGACAAGTAGCATTCTCCTACTCTCCGCCCTTGCCGCCGATTCATAGGGACTCTTGCTGAGGAGCTCGATCTAAGATACCAATCAAGGCAAAGTACGTTGTGCTTAAACGAGTTTCTTCAGCTTTCTTTGACTTGTGGTGACTTAAACTGAGCTCCTTCACAAAAACCCACTCGTGGCGCGAAAAGCCGTCTCCTCCGGAGACGTCTTCCAAGCGGCGGCCGGAAGATGGAGCCGAACAACGCGGGGCGAGCGTCGTTTTGGGGGGGTGAAACCCTGAACCCTACCTCGGGATCCCAAAAACTACTTCAAGGGTCATACCCCGAACAATTCTATTTTGCAGGGTTTCGGGCTACACCCTAAACCACGCGCAGGATGTTTGCTATACTGGGCTTTTAAGTAACCAGGAAGAAAAAGTTATAAACTTGTAGTTCACAAAGGTTCCTTTAAGAAAAAAGTATGAAAGTATGGTACTCAGCCCAGTAAGGGGCCTGCTGGGGTTCAGACTAGGGGGGTTGCGTGGCGCATTGCTCTGCAATCGGACAATCCTCAGGCCCAGACATAGACAGCGGTAGCAGTTTTACTGGAACATATAGCTGCATGGTCATGATACAACCAGAAGTAGTGCGCTAGCACCATGGCATGACAATCTACGACTATAGTACTACCTGGACCCCCAAAGTATGTAGAATAATAGCCCTTATAAGGCTTTGGGCCATTATTTAGCCTACTTTTGGGGGTTTAGGTACTTACCATCCAGTGAAAATGATTCTTTAGCCCCCTCGACAGCACCTCATCCCCTGGCTGCTGTTCGCTCCTCCATCTCCGTGCAGAAACCCAGAGACTCCAATATCCCTTAATTAAGGAATATCCTTTAAATCATATTAGGGATCCTACCATAATTTAAGGAATATTCTGTAATGAAGGGATATTGGAGTCTCTGGGAAACCCCTCTCATTCTTCGCGGCTTTGCGCCAGTCTCCGGGAAACGAGGGGCTCTCAAAACGAAGGGCACCCCTGTTTTGCAGGGTCTTTATAAAACAGAAGCCTACCCAGACCCTCGATCTGCCCTCGATTGCTAAATACCGGTGATGGGGACCCCTTACAACTCCCTACTCTACATGTTGAGGCCTGTTGTGGTAATTATGAGGAGCCCCCTCGGCATCTGACACGGCCCAGATCACAAGTGCGTTAGGAGCGAGGCGCCCAGCCATAGCCTCGCTTTGTAGGGTTACTTGTAGGTTCATGGGTAGTTAAAGTGGGGTGATAAGTCCCTTAATAGGGGTTACAACTCTAGTTATCCTACTTATAACCCTACCTATAACTAACCATGAACCTCCAAGTACTACACGAGCCTTGACGTTTAGAATAGTGCTGCCTTCAAGTCAAGAGTCAATGGTTGCCGTTTAGGGCCTAGAGTTTTGGGGGCTTGGCTTTCCGAGTAGGGGTGTGGGATTCTCGGGCATGCAAAGCTGATGCATCCCCTGAAGTCCGAAACCGCTCTCCCATACTACAGAAGCGATCCTAAGCCCCTAAGAAAAGGGTCTTGATGGCATGCACTTAAAGACCGGGGACTAATTCATCCATCAAGAGGCTAAATTCAGCCCGAACCCAAATCTAAGCCCTAGATCCCTATACGCTAAACCCTTCACCGTCGGGTTTAGGGTTTGAGGAACACAAGACATAGGGGTCTCCAAAGAAGCTGGAGATGAAGACAACAAGTAAAAAAGCAACGAGCCGATGTTCCTCCCGGTACGTACCTTGGATCCATGCATCGTAATCCTACCCCCTAAACCCTAAACCTGTTGGTTGCCCTGATCCATAATCAGATGACTGATGTAATTACTTAGCCCTCCAGGGTTCAAAGGCAAACGGGGATCTCTGGCAACCCATCCCAATCAAACCTTACACCTGCTAAACCCTCGTAAACCATGTAAAACTCTTACAAACCCGTCCGACAAGCTGTACGTCATGACCTGCATAAGCCACACATGCAAACCACGGGAAGCAGCCACGACGATGCTAGAAAAAGGCACAAGAAAGACACCACAAATCCTGCATGAAACAACAAAAACCTATACTGAACTTAGAGCCCTAGCAAACATTATAATTTTAGCTGTTTCTTATGGACTATAATAAACAAAGTTAAAAAATATTTCTAAGTACCACTAAGAAACACCCACACAAGCAAGAGGGCCGTCCGAAAGCATCAAACAACAAACCATGCCAAGAACCCGAAAGACACATCCCTTGCGGCAGCACTTACAAAAAAACCCTTGTAGCCCCCGAAGAACCTAAACGGAGGTTCATGGATTAGTCCCAAGTAGGGTTATAAGTAGGATAGCTTTAGTTATATCCTTATACAGGGAACTCCAGAAAGTTGGAATATGGATTAATGGTAGGATCCCCTATAATTTACCTTAAAAGGGCTACGATAATGATATTCCAGCTTTCTGGCTTCTACTGTAAATCCAAGCAGAACTGCCCATGAACCTCCAAGTATGGGACTTTCAGCACAATCGGCCCTTAGGCCACCTATAAGAACTTAGAACCTGCTAGAGCGAACAACAAAGACCTTCTAATATCCCTTCATTACGGACACGTATATACTCAAGTTTAATAGGAACCCAAATATGCCTGAAGGTGAATTCAGTAGTTTGTCAAAGATATTGGAAGATCTCTAAACCCTAATTGAACCCTAAACCCCTAAACATTAAACCCCTAAACCCTAAACCCTAAAACCCTCGACCCGTCAACCCACAGGAAACCTTCTGAGAAATCCAAGAAGCTGCTCCGCCTCACTACATCGCGGCTGCAGAGCCGCGACCTTCTCGGCCTCAGAAAGGGAAGTTAGGTGTTTCAGGCTTTTCCTGGGTTTAGGGTTTCGGGATCTCACTACAAGGGTCCAGGAGCCTTAGGGCCGTTCCAAGGCATGACCGCTTCGAAAGGGTTGAGGGCTTTAGGGGTTTCTGGTTCTAGGGGTTTAGGGTTTAGCGTCTGGGGGTTTAGGGTTTAGGGGTTTAGGGATTGGTGGTTTAGGGGCTTAGGAGTTGAGGGGTTTAGGGGTGTAGGGTTTAGGGTTCGGGGTTGAGGGTTTAGTTTAGGGGTTTCTATAAGGTTTTCAGGGGCTCTCTTTTTTGAACAGGGTTCTTGGGTTCTAGAAGGCTTCTGTCCGGATACTACAAAAGCTGTTTTTGAGCTTCTTTTTCGGCGTCTGCAGGGCTTAAGAAGGGGTGCTATACTACTGCGGGTGTTATTCTAAAGCTTTTAGTGTTGAGGGCTGTGCCATTAGGTAACTTACCGTTAAGGCTTAGGGTAGTAGTATACACCTCAGGAAGACCAGGATCAGGTACCTTTTACCGCAATGATCTGGGGACTCAGCAACTTGAGTATACGGTTGCATGGGTCGGCAAGACACAGTATCGCCACTTACAGTCCCAGTCAATGCGCTTATTGACTTATACACTTTATAACCATACTTGTAGCCGGCGTGAACCCCATCGCAGGCTGCTGTCTGAGCCTTCTGTGTCGGGGCCTTCAGCCGGCTCCTCAGTGCCATCTTCCTCCTCAGTGCCTTCGAAGATGAGCTCCTCGTCCTCTTCTTCTTTGCCCGCCGCCTCGGTCTCCAAGTCGATCGGCGCGTGGTCCCTCGAGCCTGCTGCCCTGTTCTCCGGCGGTGGCAGGGGGCACTTCTTGGGGATGGGCGAGGGAGGGCCATCCGAGGAAGCCGCCTTAGACTTGGAAGCCGTGGTGCGGGTGGTGACGCGGCGGGCCCACGGAGAAGGGCCAGGGTCATTGGAGGACCCTGCCTGCTGAGCATCACCACCAGTACCTGGCTGATAATTAAGGCAGAAGTGCTAAATCTCCGGACTCTTCCCTAGAGATGACTGCAACACTCAGAAAGATAGCCTACAGCATTCAATAGCAGACCATAAGACAATACGACCCTATTCACAACCCTCTTTCATATTCTTTTGGACCATTACATTTCTAGGTCCCCCAGTGTCCCTTTAATAATAAGATGCTCTTCTCCTTGTAATCAGTCTTGCTGGTAAGGGAAAAAGGGCAACAGGGTACTACCTGGGAACCTAGCATCTAGACCACCCTAAACTACCCTAAACCCCAAAAAAACCCTAAACCACTCTAGATCCCTTTAAGGATCCCTTTGCAGGAACCCTATATCCCAAAAAACCTAAACCCCCAAAACCCTGAACCACTATGGATACCTTTAGGGATCTTTTTTCAGGAACCCTACATCCCAACAACCCTAAATCCCAAAAACCGTGAACACACATAGATCCCTTTAAGGATCCCTTTGCAGGAACCCCACATATTCCAAAAACCCTAAACCCCCCCACACCCTGAACTACTATAGATACCTTTAAGGATCCCTTTTCAGGAACCCCACATATTCCAAAACCCTAAAGCCCCCAAAACCCTGAACCACTATAGATACCTTTAAGGATCCCTTTTCAGGAACCCTATATCACAAAAACCCTAAAGCCCCCAAAACCCTGAACCACTATAGATACCTTTAAGGATCCCTTTTCAGGAACCCTATATCACAAAAACCCTAAAGCCCCCAAAACCCTGAACCACTCTAGATTCTAGATCCCTTTAAGGATCCCTTTTCAGGAACCCTGTATCACAAAAACCCTAAAGCCCCCCCAAAACCCTGAACTACTATAGATCCCTTTAAGGATCCCTTTTCAGGAGCCCTTTTCAGGAACTATAGATCCCTTTAAGGATCCCTTTTCAGGAACTATAGATCCCTTTAAGGATCCCTTTTCAGGAGCCCTTTATCACAAAAACCCTAAAGCCCCCCCAAACCCTGAACCACTATAGATCCCTTTAAGGATCCCTTTTCAGGAACTATAGATCCCTTTAAGGATCCCTTTTCAGGAACTATAGATCCCTTTAAGGATCCCTTTTCAGGAACTATAGATCCCTTTAAGGATCCCTTTTCAGGAGCCCTTTATCACAAAAACCCTAAAGCCCCCCAAACCCTGAACCACTATAGATCCCTTTAAAGATCCCTTTTCAGGAACTATAGATCCCTTTAAGGATCCCTTTTCAGGAACTATAGATCCCTTTAAGGATCCCTTTTCAGGAGCCCTATATCACAAAAACCCTAAACCCCCCCCCAAAACCCTGAACCACTATAGATCCCTTTAAGGATCCCTTTTCAGGAGCTATAGATCCCTTTAAGGATCCCTTTTCAGAACCCTAAACCCTAAACCCTAAACCCTACACCCTAAACCCTAAACCCTAAACCCTAAACCCTACACCCTAAACCCTAAACCCTAAACCCTACACCCTAAACCCTAAACCCTAAACCCTAAACCCTAAACCCTAAACCCTAAATTGACAGGGGGCCCGGAGCTCTTCGCTCAGGGGCCGCTCCTGTGGTCTTGGCCACGGGGACTGGGCCTTGCGGCGGCTTTCCGCTGCTTTAAAGGGAACTCCAGAAAGGTTTAGGGTTTAGGGTGTAGGGTTTAGGGTTTAGGGTGTAGGGTTTAGGGTTTAGGGTGTAGGGTTTAGGGTTTAGGGTTTAGGGTGTAGGGTTTAGGGTTTAGGGAACTCCAGAAAGTGTTGGAATATGGATTAATGGTAGGATCCCCTGTAATTTACCTTAAAGGGGTTACGATAATGATATTCCAACTTTCTGGCTTCTACTGTATTGGGGCCTTAATAATCAGAATAAGGTTGCTCTTAAACAGCTCCTTTTAAAGGGGTCTGTAAGGATTACTACAAGGGGTATATTTGGGGGCTTAGTATAGGGGCCTTCATAATCAGAATAGGGTTCCTTTCAAGGGCTACTATAAGGGCTATCATGATTATCAGGATCTAGTATCGGGGCCCTAATGATTAGAATGGGGCTCGCGGGTGCCATTCTACTAGACTTATAATATGGAACCCCCAACATAGTATTGGTAATTATTTAGGCTCCTGTGTCATTGGGGCTTCTTCGTGGGTTCAAGCCTGTTTGAAGGGGCCTGTATACGGGCGTCAGGTTTATTGTTATAGGGGCGGTATAAGGGTGTTTTGTTAGGGCCCCGAAAAAGCACATAAGCAAAAATAGGGTCAGGGATATCCCATATAAAAGGAGCCCAAGAAGGTAGGGATTTGAATCTTGTCGATGGCTTGAAGTGTGAAATACCTTCAGCATTTTGCTTTAGCGGATTTGTTCAGGTGCTGTTAGCACGGATTCAGTTGGCATTTACAGCGAGTTTTCACAATTGTGCTTCGCAAGTCCCTAGTACACCTTAATTGAGGAATATAGCTGAAATCATCATATGAAACCCTAAACCCTAAACCCTAAACCGACTCCTTCATGCGTATGAATCGCCGACGCAGGGTGAGGCCCAGGCCTCCATGAAGCCCCGACCCCAAGAGCCCTGAACCCTAAACCCTACACTGCGAACCCCAAAAGTTCGGGAACCCCAAACTCCTGCTTGGAGGGTCGGGGGACTTAGTAACTATAAGGGGTTCCTTATGGGCCTCTTTAAAGGGATCTATAGGGATTCTATAAGGGTTTAGGGTTTAGGGGGACTTAGTAACTGGTTATTTTAAGGACTTATAAGTACCATAACCCCAATTAGGGTCCCTTTTAGGGTACTTATAAGTCTACTTACTACCTACTTACTAAGTCCCCCGACCCTCCAAGTGATCATCTTGAAGATCTCCCCAAGAGTTCGCGCCGGCCTTTTCCGGGCCCGGGAATCCTAAACCCTCACCACGAACGCTGCTTGTAAGCCCAGAAAAGCCTAGACTTAGAGGCCCAAAACCCAAGGAAATACAAGTTGAAACTTTCAGAATCGACTACCTTTTAAGAGCCCCAAATGTTTAAAAGTTGAGTTTACCGCCAATAAGTAGAAGCCCTAAATCTCTTCATGAGCTCTGGATCCCGGAATTCCCCGAGTCGCCAACCCCCTCCCGGCCCGCACCTGCAGCCCTGGGGGCGGTAAAGCGTGGCTGACATGGCTGACCTGGTTTAGGGCTTCGGGTTTAGCGGGGTTTGGGGCTTGGGGTTTAGGGTTTTTATAGGGGTTTCGGCTTTAGGGCTTAGGGTTTACGGTGTAGGGTGGCGCTTCATGATTCTTCCAGCCCCTCTATGTGCTGGCGAGATTCGGGAGGACGACAGAATACCTTTTTGTGGGGAGGCAAGAAAGCGGGAGCGAATCCAGCCGCACTCCTCAAGCCAGCTTCAGCCAGCATTGTCTGGGTGCATCAGCAAGACCAAAACAAAATCTCGCTCAAGGACCTTGGCCAAACATCCCCTTGGCAAAGGAATGCCTGGGCCCACCTTCTCGCTCGTGGCTTTGAGAAACCCTGCCATGATGTCAGCTGATAGAAGGCTCCAGGTGGCATTGTGGTAATTAGGCCACTAAACAAGGTGACTGCCCGTCGCAGCGTCTCGGCGGATCTCCCCTTCCAGGTTGGCTCTGTCCTTGAAGCCGAGCACCACAAGTCTGGCACGGGGAGCACGACAGCCCCTAAACCCTACACCTTCACAGCCCCCAAACCCAAAACCCTCAACCTTCATAGCCCCTGAACCCAAAACCCTAAGTCTTATTCCCTAAGCCCCTAAACCCAAAACCATAAACCCGACGGTGGCTTTTGCATCAAAGCGACTAGGCTCTGGCGACTCCGAGAAGCTCAGCTCCGCAAAACGAGGATCGAAACTTGGGAGGACTTCAAAGTAGAGGTTCCCTATACTTTACCTTAACTCACTGGCCCAAACCCAAGGAAAGGGTTTAGCGTTTCAGAGGGTTTCAGGGTTTAGGTTTAGGGTTTCGGGTTCCATCATAGGGGCCCTTAGGGCCTAAACCCTAAACCCCTAAACCCTAAACTTAGGGGGGTAGGAGTGGGTATGGGGGAGGAGGGTAGAGGACGCATACTTCCGTAAAGAGGCCTTCTTCGGTCCTTAATAAAGGCCCCCTACCCCCTTAAAGGGTTTAGGGTTTAGGGGTTTAGGGTTTAGGGTTGAGGGTTTAAGGTCCTTATGATATACTTTACCTTAAGGGCACGAAGGTAAAGATCTTCCAACTTTCAGGCTTCTACTGTAGGTCTTGGGATTTAAGTTTGAGGGTTTTCGGGTTTAGGTATGTCTTGTCTGGGGAAGCCAATTTTATATTACAGGATCCTAGCCAAAAGACTTGGTTAACCAAGCAAGGGAGGAGAGTGCAGATATGATTCAAGATTCAATAGGGGGTTTCTTTTAAAGGGCCCCGTTAGGAGAGACTTCGTAAGAGCCCAGTCTCCGTGAATACGAGGGTTCAAGGGTTGTAGGGTTTAGGGTACACAGAGAGCCCAACACTCCGTGAAGAAGGAACACCACATCACCTGCAGACTTATACTTGATATGATTTAGGGAAGCTTTTCGTATATAGTATATATCCTCCTGACTTACAGTGTGTTGAAACCTTTTGGAGCCCTACTCGGAGAGATCCTTCGTCTGACAAAGGTACATTGCATCTGGGCTCTTAGAAGCCCAAAATGTCAACGCTATCCCACAGGCCTCAATAAAGTTAAAGCATATCATACCCCGAAATCCCTAGTACTAAGGCCCCTCTTAAGCCTGCACCAACAAGCTCTTACACTCCAGGATGACTGGACCAAGATCCAACCCAGGTGACTGAACTCTGTCGTTGCTTTATTGGAAACAAGTCTTACCAATCCCCACAAACTGCAACTCCAAATCCACGCAACAAATCCAACCCTGAACGGTAAACTCCTACACCGACTGCACCCTAAAACCCCAAAGTCATAAGTCAAAACGCGCGCCGCGCCACTACTCCCTTACATTTTGAACCCGCTTTCTTCAGCTCAAACTCGAGCACACTAGTATCTGTGAAGTAGGATTTCCATCGCAAGTATCTTCAAAGCTCTGACCGAAATTAACACCCGACACCCACTAAAACTCCCTGAACCCCTCTAGATGTGACTCCAGACACTCACTAAAGCACCAATATACGTCCCAGTAAACCCTTTATCGTAACAGTTCTATAGAAACCCTTTAGAACCCGATGGCCCTGCAACAATCTTGCAACACCTTGTCACATCTTAAACCCTAAACCCTCGAACCCCTAAACCTTAAACCCTAAACCCTAAACCCTCCAACCCCTAAACCCTAAACCCTAAACCCTCCAACCCCTAAACCCTAATGTAGGAACCTGATTAAGAAACCTTGGGCTTGCCTTAGAGTTCCCTATTTGGGAGTTTCCGAAAATTAGGGGTACCTTATTTGGGGAGTCTTATAATAAGGATCCTACTATTTAGGGTAGTATATTAGGGTCCCCTATTTTCGGAAACTTCCTTTTTGAATCCAGCCCAGGGTTTCTGAATCAGGTTCCTGCATTAGTACAGTAGAAGCCAAAAAGTTGGAAACCCAATAGCTAGAACCCTGCTATAGATCCCTTAGAGTACCCTTATAGGACTCTTTGAACAATCCTATTCTGTAGGTAAGAACTCCTAACCCACAAACCCCTAAACCCCCACACCCCGAAACCCTAAACCCCTAAAACCCCTAAGCCCTAAACCCCCAAACCCCTCAAACCCCTAAACCCTAAACCCCTAAAACCCCTAAAACCCCTAAACCCCACACCCCCAAAGCCTATACAACCTGAGACCTGAAAAGCTGGGGTCCCGGCCCAGGACCCCGGCCACGGCGCGAAGGCCGTGCTTGGAGCGGTCACGGAGGCGCTCGCTGCGCTCGCCGCGTCGTCCTTGCTTGAAGGAGGCTTTGTTTAGGGTTTAGCGTTCAAGGTTTAGGGTTTGTTGAAAAACAGAAGAATGCTTTACTTTTAAAGAGGGTTTGTTTTGAACCCTCTTTTGCTTGAAGGGTCGATCCTAATGCGCTGAAACAGGGATACTTTCGTGGGGGTGTTTAGAAGGGTTTGTAGGGCTGCATGGAACTTTGGGTGGCTTTCTTGGGGCGTCATGAGGGTGGTATCTAGCTTTCTGAGACTTTACAGAGTTTTTAACGACGTGTTTGAAGGATCATGCGACATACTTGGGAGATGAGTACCTGAAATCAATAAATTCAGTGCTCCACTTGCGCCCTGTATTTAAGGAAAGCACCAGAAAGTAAGTGTAGAGTCCGGCCCTTCGGAACGAAGGGGGTATGGGTCTTTCCGGGTTGCAGGTAGCAACAGGGGTAGGAGGAATATATCACCTATACGACACATGTAAAATTACCCAATTTGCGGAGACCCTGGTCTACTCATGAAACCGCCCAAACCAAAAACCCTGAACACCTGTAGAACCCTTACGATACCTGTCGAGTAAGAAACTCTTACAGCACTCCAGTTCCTGTCAACGTATGCAAGACACTGATTTGGGAGATCCCTAGAACAGAAACACAATCCAAAAAATACGGAGAAGACAAAGCAGCCAAAAGCCTTATAGTTATAGGGTTATAGGACCCTATTCAAAAAGGCTAGGCCTTTTTGCTTATCTTACTGGGACAAGCCGAACTTTCCTTGGTCGCTTGAACTTTGGTTCATTCTATCGGGAGGATACATCCTGGGAACCCAGTATCCATAAAAACCTAGACACTAAAACCCGTTGTGGGAACTGCCCCAACTCGAAAGCCAAAACTCTCAACCCTGAACCCTAAACCGAGCAGCTCGATCTAACACTTTATAGGGTTTAGGGATTTCGGTTTTGGTTTAAGGCTTTTAAAGCCCTGAGCACTAGACACTTAAAGCCCTCAAAAGTTGTAACCCCTGTATGCAAGCCTGTTATAACACTCAGGCACCCAAAATCCCAGGTAATCAACATACAAACTTCCCGCGATGAGGCCCAGCATGGCTTGGGGGTCGCTAAGCAACACCACCCCCCCAAAACCCTTAAGCCCTAAACCCCTAAGCCCCAAACCACCCTCCCCCCGAAAAATGCGGATCATTGGCCGTCGCAGATGGGTAGGCCGAGTCCCCGGTAATGGCGTCATGACCTTTTCGGGTTTAGGGTTTGGGCTTTTCGGATTTGAGGCTTTGCGGCTTCCTAAGCCCAAATCCTAAACCTATTGATATGGCTGAATAATTTTCAATAGGGTCTCGGAGTATATGAGACTGCAATTATATGAGGAACGCCAAAGAAGTAGTTAGTAGTACTAAGTGTCCACTACGAGCTTTGCGGATCTTGGCGTCAGAGCTGAATGCGCCATTGGCAAGAAACATGGTTCCGTGGGGCTTCGGGGCTTAGGATGGAAAACGCAGGCCCCAAACTTCAGGGCTTACCTAGACCCACCAACTGAAACCAAGGTAGCCTAAACCAGGTAAATGTGCCAACTAGTACCAACTTTTTGTTGGGTCGGGCATTCTATAGGCATACCTCAAAGCTTTAAGTTTTGCGGGACTTAGAATCAGGATTCCAACTATGGCGAAGTGGGCGTTCTATTTGTTGCTCCTTGCCCTGAAGTGTACACAGGGGTTTAAGCGTTTGGGCTTTAGGGCTGTGATTAAACCATGGAGCCCCAAAGAAAAAGGGCTGAGTTGGTGTGAAGGCCTGTAGCGCTGCCAGTCATTCCGCTGCTTTAGATGTGATGCCTGCTTCTGATATGACAAACACGAAAATCTGGACCTTTGAGACCACTTACGGTCAGATCCTAACATCCACACCCTGTGCAACGCTTACGAACTCAGCTACTCAAAACCTCACAGCCGAAGGAATGAAGCCAAGAGTGCGAGGCCCTATAGGTTTTGCGCCTCAGGGGCCTGCTAAAAAGCTGTACAGAAACCCTTCGCGCAACACCACTCGTAGTAACCCTTGCAGAAGGAATCTCACCATAGTCCGTGTAGCCTTGTAGACACCTTCAACGGAACCTTTATGGTGGTTCACGAAATCCTCATAGTAACCCTTATACATGAGCCCTCTGGCAACCTTTACTGAAAAACCTTAACGTTCATAGCGACCCCTTCAGAAGGAACCCTGTAGCAACCCGTATAGATGTAGCAACCCGCATAGAAACCCTTACGTCGATAGCAAGACGGCATAAAAACCTTACACACTGCGAGTCTTAATGTAGCGGAGCTAGAACAGGGCTTTGAGGGTAGATCACACTATAGTCGTATAAAAACTGTAACGGTAACACATTGCTACTTCTTGTTGTTAGTCTCATTCCTAATATTGTGATTATCATGGCTATTGTTGTTATTATTGTTAGGATTGTGATTATTGGATTTATTGTTGCAGTATTGTTACTACATGCCTGTAATATAGGAACCCAATTCAGAAATCTTGGGTCTTTCTAAGGGCTCTTTATATGAACCCCAATATATTGATGTTATAGGGCCAGGGTTTCTTAATCAGGTTCCTACATTAGTACAGTAGAAGTCAAAAAGTTGGACACCCACTAGCCTCAATCCTTAAGAGTAATGTCTAGGCAATCCCAACACTATTTGTCCTTAATCCGGTTTCCAACTCCATGTGGTTTACTGCCCATTCTAATTCTAAAGGCCCCTATATTGAATTATAGAAACCTACTATAGATCCCTGAGAGAAACCCTTTCAGGGCCCTTTACAGAAACTCTATAGATCCCTTCTAGAAACCCTTGCAGGCCCTTTAAAGACACTCTCTACAGATCCCTTATACTAACCCTAAACCCTAAACCCTTCAAGAAACCCTATTCTGTAAGTAAGGTGGCAAAAACACCGAAATGAGGTACTCTGAATGTTCAGAAACTCTAAACTAAACCCTTATGGAGCCCTTTAAAGGGACCCTTATAGTACCCTTTAAAGTACCTCTAAACTAAACCCTTATAGAGCCCTTTAAAAGGAGCCGCCTGAGAGCCCTAGGCCCGTGATCTCTTCGGCCATGACTCGATATCCTTGGAGTTTCCGAAGATTAGAGGTTCCTTTAAAGGGTTCCTTTAAAAGGGTTGCTGTAAGGGTACTATAAGGGTCCCTTTAAAGGGCTCTATAAGGGTTTAGTTTAGAGTTTCCGAAAATTCGGAGTACCTGATTTTGGGGTCCTTGCAATAATGATTATTTCGGGTGCTATGTTAGGGTCCTCTATTTGCGCAAACTCCCATCCGGGATCTTTGGATCCGGGAAGTTAGGAAGTTAGGGGTTTAGGGCTCCTTTAAAGGGATTAGAAGGGCTCCTTCCAAGGTATCTATAGGGTTCAGGGGTTTAGGGTTAGGGATTAAGGTGGTTCAGGGGTTGGGGCTTAGGGGTTACGGGTCCCACTACGGGTTACTTTGGATCCGGGACGTGAGGGGTTTAGGGGGTTTGGGGTAGGTGGTTCAGGGGTTTAGGGTTCAGGGGTTGGTGGTTCAGGGGTAGGGGGTCTAGGGTTTAGGGTTTCAGGTTTAGAGGTTTAGGGCTCAAATTAAGGTGCAGTGTCCCCTATATCTCCTAGCGCCTAAACCTTAACCCCTCAACCTGTACCCTAAACCTGAAGCCCCTGAACCCAAAACCACTAAACCCCTTTGCGCTGAAAACTCTAAACCACTACAGATCCCTTTAAGGATCCCTTTAAGGATGCCTTTAAGGGTCCCTTTAAGGAACCCTTTAAGGAACCCTTTAAGGGTGCCTTTCAGGATCCCTTTAAGTAAGGAACCCTTTAAGGAACCCTAAAGCTTGGGATCGTCCCGGCCTCTGCTTGCGCCGCCAAGGCTTGCAAAGTCTGGGGGGGCTTACCAGCTTTAAACTTTAAGGTTCCTTGGCAGGGATCTATAAAGGGGTCCTTTAAAGGGATCTATAGGGTTTAGGGTTTAGAGTTTAGGGTCTGCTTTGGGGGTTTAGGGTTTAGGGGTTTAGGGGTTACTGTTAGTGTAAGGGTTTGGGGTTTAGGGGTTCAGGGGGGCAAATGCTAACACGGTAAACACCACAAACTCGAACCTGAAACTCAAAAACCAGAATGCTGTACCACTGCTCCTACAAACCTCAGCCGCTAATGCTCAAGATGGCAGCAGCCCCTAGGTAACTATCCAAGGCTAGGACACCTCTTTTCAAGATCCAATCCATTACAGCCGAAAGCTTCTCAGGGCTTTTAAGGTTTTAGTTGGGGGCTTTGGGGGGGTTTGGGGCTTTTGGGCTTGCAGAGGGTTTAGGGTTTTGGGGCATGGGGTTCATGAACCAGCTATAAGACTCTCATCTTCAACAGCCGGGCCCCAAAGAGTTCAAACTTTCTACGACAGAGCTACTATATCAGGCCAAAAGTTTAAAGTTCCCCCGTTCACTATCTAAGAAGAACCCAGAGAGCCCGATACCCCTTAATTAAGGAATATACCTTAAATAATAAGGGGATTCATATTATGATTTAAGCTATGTTCCTTAATTTCGGGGTATTGGGCTCTCTGGGAATGCTTCGTACAACCACATACCCCTAAACCCCTAAACCCTAAACCCCCAAAGCAGACCCTAAACTCTAAACCCTAAACCCTGTAGATCCCTTTAAAGGACCCCTTTATAGGAGAAGCCCAGGATCGCTCATTTGCTTCTGTCACCTGGCAGGGGCTCAGGAAGACTACTTGGAGGGTCGGGGGACTTAGTAACTCGTTATTTTAAGGACTTATAAGTACCATAACCCCAATTAGGGTCCCTTTGAGGGTACTTATAAGTCTACTTACTACCTACTTACTAAGTCCCCCGACCCTTCAAGTACGTTGTGCTTAGTAGGGAATGAGGGGAATGGATACTGGGTATTCTATAGGGGCTACTATAGGGATCCATGCCAACTAAGAACCAGACAGAAGATGGGCGTCAGGTGATGTGGTCCGGAGATCGAGACGGTCGTACGGTTTAGGGCTTCAAAGCTGAGGGGTCTGGCGCTTGAAAAGCTTCAGGGTTAGGGTTTAGGGTTGTAGGGGTGGGAGTTCCTTCTGCATAGTTCGTCCTCCAGGCTCTGCGATTCAGTACTTCGGGATCTTGGCGGGTGCCAAGTTACCATCAAAGGATTATGTGGCAATCGCGGTGCTTTCCTGATTGTGCTAGCTTAACTGACACCCAGAACACGCGCGCTTAACAACCCTTCCTGCAAAACCCTTAATGTCGGAACCTGATTAAGAAACCTTGGGCCTTTATTAGGGTTCCTTATATGAATCCTACTATTTTCGGGTTCTAGGCCCAGGGTTTCTTAATCAGGTTCCTGCATTAATGAACCTTGCAACGCCCTGTGCCACCTGAAGCTCCCTAACAAGAGCCCGTAATTAGAATAGGGTTTGGGGGCCCATTATACAATACTCATAATAAGGAACCCCCAAAATAGTATTGGCAATTATGCAATTATTTGGGTCCCTGTAGCAAACCCCTGCAGAACCCAAACCGGCAAACCGAGTCATACAGCTAGAAGCTGCACGCTGCGCTCGGGCACATGCCGTCTTTTGAGTTAATGTAATTTTCAGGGGCTTAGGGTTTAGGGTTAATTAATGCCATGTAGCGAAGACCAACATACACAACTAGAAAGTATTGTGATGGAATCCCAGAGACTCCAATATCCCTTAATTAAGGAATATTCCTTAAACTATAGTAGGATCTATAATTTAAGGATCATTCCTCAATTAAGGGATATTGGAGTCTCTGGGGACAGGGTTGGCATGAGATGCCAGCGAGGCAAAGGAGATGCAGCTATCCGTGCAATATAGGAGCTTTCCGAAAATATAGGGGACCCTAATGTAGTACCCTAAATAGCAGGATCATTATTATAAGGACCCCCAAAATAAATGCATCCCTTATTTTGGACACCCCCATATAGGGGTATAAAAGCGTCTAAAACAGTGGGCTTGTCGGATAGGTAGGTAGCAGATGGGGACACTATTTGGCGGTTCTACTTTGTAATTATAGAATACACCAAAACCGTTAAGCCATGAGCGGTCGCGCTAACCTTTTACTCAGAGGGCTTGAGCATGATAGTCACGTCATAGTATACACAACATGATGACTGTACACGACCATACAAACTCCTACGCAAGCTGCGATGCAAAACTACACCCCCCTCACCTAAAGGCACGGTCACTGCATTCAAAAACACAACATACCTTCGCCTGCAGGTGGAAGAGCGCTTCGGCTCGGAGTTTGACGATCGGCGTGGAGTTGCCTCCCGCGTCATCAGTTGTTTCAGCAAAAGTACATGTGACTACCGAGTGCCTCGAGGAAGGGTGCGAAAACTGCATGCGAGCTTTTCTTCAAATGCAAGACGCTGGTTTCAGCGTGGAGCAAGGACGATAGGAGTTCGCCGCACAGCCACTTGAAAAATATCACAGGCCGGGTGAACATCCCTCTTGCTCGAAAGAATCAGACTACTGGGTCGGCTTATCAGTTCCAACGCCATCCGCGATTGCGCCACTCACGCCAGTCCTGGTTGTTCCAGTTCTGGCCGCGCCATGATCCCCAGGATGACGAAGACCAATTCTGCCACCAGGATTGATTATCCCAGTCCCAGTCGCGGTTGGTGCGATCGGCGGCCTCGGCGTTAGCCCGGCTTTTGCCTTTTCCCTTCTCTGCTGCTCGGGCATATGTAGAGCCCTTGCCACCACCTGGCGGATGCTGCTGGGCATACTTCGGCTGGGCAGCACGACTTTGATTGGCCTTTTTGATGGTTTCATCAACCGTCTCCACCATGAAGGGTAGGTCCTTTGCCAAAACGGTCTGCAGGTCCGTACCCACTGCAGCGGGATCGTAGTTGAGGAGATCCACCTTGCCGTGGCCAAAAGTCTGTAGACGGATGCCCCCTTTTTGCCTGGCGATGTTGTGAGCGAAATCTTGGAACGAAAGAATGGCTCCGTACCATGTAAATGCTACTGGCGTATCCTCCGGCGTGGACGTTAGTCCCGCTGCGCACAACTTACCGCCAATGCCATCGTCTCCGGTAAAGAAAACGATACGACACTCTGGAACCTCGTCCGTGCGGAACTGGTGCGTGGAACTCGCCGCTCTGGAGGATCCAATAGCCAGCATGCGTTGCGATCGAGTGCGGCCAGGGTTCGGAAGGTAGGCGAAGCAGAGGCAGTCGAGGGCACGGATCGTTCTGCGTGTGTATCCCTCTTTGGCCATTGAAATTGCGTATTCATTGTCATGATTGAACCTCGCCACGCAATCAGTGTAGCCCTTTTTCACGGCTCTCTGCTTTGCCACTTTGGCTTTCCGAATAACCTCGCCTTCTAAGGAGTTCATGCCACGGCCGGCGACATCTTTCGATGCGCTTTGAAGGCTTGGCCTCACTCCCACTCGTTCAGCGGCATCACCCATCTCCTGAAGCAGAGCTTCACGCCCACGTGCCAACAGCGTCCGTCTGCCCTGTGCCTTCAATTGACCTGGTCGAACTGGCCCTCCGCATTGAGAGCAAATCCTTTGGCCTTGAAGACACTCAGCTTTGCAGTGGTAGCATTTGATTTTCTCCAAAAACGCGGCGGATGGTTTGGTCTCACTACCAGCATAAAGTACTGGTTCTGGCCTTCCCACCGGCTCCTGGATTGCTTCAACTGGTGTACCCTCAGCATCCAGCGTCACCGTTGTCGCCATTCCGTCACCGATGTACACAGTCCTGATTGGAGGACCCGGCTGTGCAATGATGGTGCCTGGTTCAACAAGCGGCCTCTCCTCTACGGAGGGCATTTGCTCATCATCAGGAGCTTCATCGTCGTCAGCCTTTGCAGGGGCATCGGTGATAGCCAACGATCCCTCAAGCACATCAGCGACATCTGGAATGGGCGGTAGGGATGTTTCCTCAGCTGGAAGGGTACCATGTTCTTCATCAATAGGCGGTGCGAAATTGTCCTGAGTCGTCTCCTCAGCCTCGGGTTCATCAAGAACGATATCGATGCCGGCCTCAGCGTTAGCTGGGCTTTCACCTTGTTCCGTTTCATCAGGAGGGACAGCGCCTCCCGCACGGGACCAAAGTACGACATCGCGTTGCGTGTCATTGATGAACAAGATGGTCGAGCCGGGCACTGCCTCGGAGCACAGTATGCCATCAGATTCCGTAAGGAATAGGTCGCAACCAGCTTCGAGGACCTCCCGGGTGTCGAAGACGATCTCAATTGGTGCACTTGCACGAAGTCCTGAACGTACCTTTTGCTCTTCGAGCGGCAGCGGCGCAAAATAACAATGCGCCTTCTCAGAACCTCCAAAACCTGGCAACAAACGATCTTCCAGAATCGCATACGCCGCATCATGTGTTGTGCGGTGATAGAGTCTGGGCGGCGCCTTATCAATCGGGATCAACGGCCTGCCCTCTCGGGCGGCATTAGCCAGCTCTTCAGAACGCTGCAGTGTAAGATATGCCTTTGCAATAGAGGCATTGTCGAGCTGCAGATTGCTGGAGTGGCCTTGCGTACAACCGACGTAGACCGGAAAAGCCGGTTGGCCAATTGCATCGGCAGCACTGTCCATTGGTCCGCGAAACATAAGGCGCTGTTTGTTGTCGGTGGCGATCATGTCGAGGAGGCTTCCTAAACCAATGTCGCTTCCAGGTCTGCATCGATTAGCAACCTCAAGCACTTCCATGGCTAGTACCCATGGTCCGCTCCACGATCGCATTTTAAATTGATTACCCTTGTTTTCGAAGTTGCCCCTGATCAGTCCAGTGACAAATGTGACCATCTTGTGGTCACATCTGGGGTAGTGTAGGCCTGGCGTCATGTCTTTTTGGAACACTTCGATGTACTGGTCGGCCTCCTCTTGCGAGGGGCATTCGTTCCAGTAATCATACAGGGTAATGCCAGTCTCTCGGCGAAGTCGTAGGTGTCATTCATGAACCTCATTCCGCGCGATCCCTGCACTGCGAGCTTGGTCAATCGCTGCTTGTCGGCCTCAGCCTTTGCGAGGCGAGCTCTTTTTGCGGCGTGCTCGGTGCCAGAGTCGCCAGACAGAATGCCTCCACCATAAATGGATGCGTCGATCGGCATTGGTCGAATATCGCCAGAAGATGAAGCCGCAGTACTCGCCGGGGTAACGGCCTCCACCTTAGGTGGGGCTTTGTTCCATTCCGGCGAATTGATCTCCTCTTCTGTTGCGAAAACACCGGGCGCGACGCTGATGACATTCTGAATCTTCATCTCCTTGAGGAAGTCGGGGACCTCAGGCGCAGGCAGTTCGGCGTGACTTTCGTCACGCTTCTCCTCCCAGTATGCGTCGTCCCACGGATCCTCCTCCGTTGGCTCCGCTTTGACCTGCTTGCTTCTCGTCATCCTCGCAAGAGCCGCTTGCAGGACATGGTTATCAACTGCGTAGCGACCACGGGAATCAAAATAATTTTCAGCAAGCAGTGATTGGAAGGCGGTTTCGACAATTTTCGCTATTGCTCTGGAGGCGTAGCGCTCGGCGATCTCGATCTGCATGATGTGGGCTAAACCCGAAACCATCTTGCGGCGGGATTCGCTGTCCTCGCGGAAATGGACGTTGTCATTGTAGAGTGCCAAATCTCCAAGGAAGGGGTGGATGTCACAGGCGGCGAGTCCTCTACGGACCGCTTCGTCCTTGAATCGCGCAATGCATTCATCGAACTGCT